TGGCCTTTGCTCAGTCCTCATTTCTGCTTCTGACTCCAGCGCTCGTGCTCTATCCACTGCGCCACCTAGCTGCCCCTCTGCTTTCCTGACCTTTTGAAACCTCCATTTCACACTATTGCTTACCCTAGCCTGATTTCAACAGGTTCCCTGTTTGCCTGTCTAAATGTTTCTTCTCAATCTTCGAGTAGTCCAAGGGAGTAATGATAAAGACTTAGAGTTTTGAATAGATGTTGGAAATGTTATGGAGGTAGAAACAACTAGACTTGGCAACTGATTGAATGTGGAAGTGAAGGAGAGTGAATTCATAGAATTTTAGAACTGAAAGTTATTGTAGATCTCTAACTCTGCTATTCTATAGATGAGGACCGAAGGAGGAAAGAACTCTGCCAAGAGCACATAACTAGTAAGTGGAGAGGGAGGGCTTGATCCCAGATCATTTTAATCCTATTCTAGTGAGTTTGGTACAAGTTAGGCATAGCTTATAGAGGGAATATGGTTCTGTCCTGAGTCAACTTTCATGCACAAAACACTTTTATTAATTTTTTTGTACTGATTGAATGGAATTCATCTTCAAGTTGGGAGTTTTTTTCTGTATTTGTCTGATAGTGTTTCTGCTTTCATACAACATCTATGAGGTAGAGACTTATTCTGACCTTTACGCCACAAAAGTAATTATTTGTCTGTATATTCCAGTTAAAAAAAAACCAAACCCAAAATAGGTTTATCCATGTCTCAAGGATATCCAAGCTGCTGCTGCTCCTTCCTCTACTCCTCAGTTCCTTCTACAGGTATCATCAGAACTCATTCTTGAGTTTACTTTCTGCTTTGGTGCCTTTATCTTTGACACTCTTCTATTTCAAGTTTTCTCTAGAGCAGGGAGTGATTATTGAATCATTTTTTCCCCCCTTGGGTCATTCCTCTTCTCCTTTGGATAGTTTTGAGGGAAATTCTTCGATTTTTCGTCCTCTTCAGAAATTCAGCAAACACTTACTGAGCCATCATGCTCGAGCTGTGTCCTGGGTGGCATAGGATTCTAGAGCCACTCAGTCCTCACTCTGTAGCTGTTGGATCTTGGTAAATCATTTCCCCTCTGTGAATTTTAGTTTCCTCTAAATAATTTACAAATATAAACCAGTAATAAATGCTAAATCATTTATTTTTCCTACACATAAATTCTCATAAGTATTACTTAATAAGTGTATCAGAAGATTCTATAGTAAATGCACTAAAGAAACTGTTAAGGAAATCCAAGACCTGGTCTCTTTTCTTAAAGAAATATAGTTTAAGGACCTGGAAACGTTCATTCTAGTCAGGAAGATATTATGTGGTTCATTAATATTTTTTGCCCTCTTAATTTTCCATCATGCATCTGCATTTTCTTGGCCAGGCGTGCTTCCTCCTTGTGTGCAGGGGGTCCACTTGTGTAGAAGATAGTGCCTGACCCTTTGTGGAGCTCGTCCTTTTGGGGTTTGCTCTTTAGGGGTTTTTCTTGAGAAAAATGACTGATGGTAAGGAACAGTGCCATCTGGTAGCTTCAGATGGGAAGTGCAGTAGTTTTTGTAATGTGATGCGGCCATGTAGGGTTGGATACATTTAAAGAAGAGCACAATTTCAAACGAAGGTTTAAAGTTTGTATTGATTTCAAAGGATTTTTGTCTCCCTGTTCATAAATTATTAAATTCTTGGCAACAAATGCTTGACTTCACTTGTTTTTTATTCAGTAGTATGGGAGCTGTTGGTCCAAATATACTGAAGTTAAAAAGTGAGGCTCTCACAATAGATGTCTGCAGGTCCATTTAGTATTATGGCCAGAGATGGTGGTTAGGTTTGTTTTCATTCTCATTGTTCCTGTTTCATACACATATGTTAACATTAACTGGCTATGTGACTTTTGGAGCAAAGTAATAGGGATTTGGTGTCCAGAGTAATAGTCAAATTGATTTGTTAGAAATGCTACTTCTAACTGGGTTGTACCTCTCCTTTTCCCACATAGTAATGGAATTTTGAATACCAAAAACATATATGTGATTTTAGTATATTCCTTAAATAGTTATGTTTTCATGTATCTTTTTCCCAATGGATTCCAAATCCAAAGAAGGACAAATTGACATTAGGCACTAAAGTCAGGGAGGAGATAACTATTTGATAATGGTAATCTCTGGTTGTCACCTTTCATCCAATAAATGTCTGTCCTGACAACTGTTGTCATTTTTAACATAAATATGACATAATAGCACTTATAGTTGTGTTTCTAACTTTTGAAAACATTGATAAAGTCATAATATGTTAGAACTAGAAGGAAATTAGAAATCACCTGGTTCATTTTACAAATGAGGAATCCAAAGTCCAGCAAAGGTAAGTGGTTTATTCACGGTCACGTAGCAAGCTAATGTTAATAGCTTAAGACTTGAACTCAGATCTTTCAAGTTCTATTCCTTCATTCTTTACACTGTATTATACTGTTCCTTTACCCTCAATAAATACCTTTGTGGACCTTCCAGTATTCTGCTACAGTTTCTCAATTGAAAATTAAGATTTCAGGTGGATTCCATGAATGTGGCTAGAGAATGTACTCGGGAAACTCACTATTTAAAAGAACTTGTAAAGAAATCTTTTGTAAAATGAAGGATGCTTGAGGAATTTGAGAATACCTGTTTTATAAATTCCAATTTTTGTGTAATAATAGTAGCATCCATTTATATATGTTGTTTTACATCATGTAAACTGTCAATTTAACTACAATCCTATTAGGTAGGTAGTGTGTCTGATTATCTCTATCTTACAAATGAGAAAGCTGAGGCCCAAAAATTTTTTGAGGATTTGCCCACTGTCACAGCTCTTACCCAAACCTTCTAGCTCTATATCTGGTGTTCTTTTCACTAAACCATTCTCTTCAGTGTAAAAAAAACAAAACAAAAAAACAAAACAAAAACTTAGGCATTATCAAAAGATTTGCACTTATAAAGCAGTGAAGTACACCCAAAGCTGGTAAATAATTTTAAAGTACCTGTCTGTAAGAGTATGGATTTATTCTGCAAGTGAGATAATATACCCTCATGTACTTTGTATATAATGAAGAACAGCCTGATTTTCATAAGATGAAATGTAAGGTATCTGTTGTCCTTGTTCTCAATCTCAGGATTCTGTTGAAATGTGATGATATATTCAGATGCACATTCCTACAATGATTCTAAATTATTATACAGCAATAACTCTTATTATTATAGAACAATAACTAAAACATCCTCAAAAATGCTTTAACTTCAAGGAGCAAAGTTTAGATGGTGATAATAGAGTAGTTAAACAGTAATCTACAGAAAATTGTAGTGTTTTAATAATTTATCAACATTTCAGAAGCACATCTGCACTTTACACCATTTATAAATATTAAGTTATCATTTGAAAGATGTAACTGCATCATATTTCAAACCATAAAAACTCTGAATACTGTCTCCCACCCCTGATCCCACATCTTAAAACTGCGCCAAACATCGTGACATATTTACCTCAGGATGCATTGCCAGATTAGGGGTATAGCCAAAATGTTCATGCCTTTCTAGGCTGCTGACAGGTTCTGTGGCTCTTTAGACCTGTTTGTTCCTTGGATAGTTCCTAAATAGTAGTGCATATTAAGACTGGGACTATGGGCAGCTAGGTGGCACAGTGGATAGAGCACCAGCCCGGGAGTTAGGAGCACCTGAGTTCAAATTCGGCCTCAGACACTTAACACTCACCAGGTGTGTGACTCTGGGCAAGTCAACCCAATTGCCTTAGCAAAAAAAAAAAAAAAAAAAAAAAGACTGGGACTAACCTGAAAGGCCATACTCGGGCCTTTGGGAACAAACCTATCTTAACTTTCCCCCAACTCTAAAGGGTGGTGTGAAGCAAAGATCAGCAAACTTTTCAATCATAAGAGAAAATTTTTGAGTAATTGGTCAGCACAGAACCAATAAAAGAATTCACATTTCCACGATGGAAAATGTAAAACCTAAAATGACTGAAAACTGATACGATAATAGCCATTTCATTCTTGTCCTTTTTTTTTTCTTTTTTTCTTTTTTTTTTTTTTTGCCATTACTAGGTAGAGTATAGTACCATATAGGATGACAAAGATGTTTGACTAAATAAAAAGAGAGTATACTAAATCCAAATGAGTAGATGATGCTGCTAAAATAAACTACAGAGGTCAAATTTTTAAAAAGACCCTTTGGAAGTATTCTGTTCATCCTCTCTTAGTCCAGTGACATTTAAAATCAGTCAGTGACATCTGTCCAGTTCTCCTCCTTTCTGCTACTCCTTTCCCTGTTTTATTCCATAGGAAGAAAGTTATTTTTTCTGGTCCTTGTTTCTTCTAATGATGAATGAATAGATAGTATTAGAATCATGAAATCATAGGATGTTAGAGCTGAAAGTGATTTTGGAAGTAATTTAGTCTAACCTTGTTCTACAGATTAAGTGACTCAGATCTACAAAGGAGAAGAAGCAATTGGTTTTATTTGGCCCCAGAAGGCAAAACTAGGAGCAAGAGGTAGAAGTTATAGAGAAGCAGACTTTAGTTCAATGTAAAGAAAATCTTTTTAACAACTAGAGCTCTCCAAAAGTGGATTGGACTGCCTCAGAGGTGGTGGATTTTTTTCCTTGCTAAAAATCTTCAGTCAAAGGTTAAATGACTAGTTGTTGGATCCTTGGTCAAATATAGGTTGGATTCCTTGTCTTCTGAGATCTTTTTCAACTCTGGAATTCTGGGATTTGCTTAAGTTAATGAAAGAACTGGAACTAGAATTCAGAATTCCTGGCTGCCTGCCTAGTACTCTGCACTAAACTACAATAGAATCACTTTCCCCATGTTATCATATCACTCTGCTGCTTTTTTTTATTGCCATGGATGTTCTGAATCACTGTGCCTATTTACTGTAGGACATTCATAAAAATAAATAGTTCAATTAATTCAAGCAAATTGTCTTTTAGTGGTATTAATATTACTTGACTTTTTTCTTCAGGACACTGGCATTGGCATGACACAAGAGGAGCTGGTGTCCAACCTGGGAACCATTGCTAGATCAGGCTCAAAGGTAAGTAAATTCCTCATTGCCTGTTCTTTAATTATTTGTAAGAGTTTTTGGCTCTCAGCAACCAAGGGCCCTTTCTTTTTAGAGCAATTACCTCTAAAATAAGCCTCTTTGGAAGCAAACCTTAGTCTCCTTTGGACTGTGCCTGACAAGTTGCCATTTAAGTAGTATATTCATTGTGAAGTTTCATATAAATCTTTTTCCTAACACTACTATTTTTGAAGTTTCCAAGTTTCTATCACATAGCGTATGTTTGGGCCAGAGTGTTTGGTTCCTAGGTATTTTCTTGACAATTGTAGATTGATCTCCTTGCCATCATTAAAACTATCTCAAGGAGGCAAACCAATTATTGTGACCTCTCGGACCAGTTTTGACTTTGAAACTAACTGTAGAAATGTGCTTTAAGAGATGCGTCTAGGTTTAAAAGCTATATTATTTAGTCCCACTGTTATTTTCATTTTTTTCTTTCTGTTGTTGTAGACTTGAAATATATGTCTGTCTCTGAAGAATATAGAATCTAATAAAAAACTAAAATAAAAGGGGTTTTGTTTGTTTTTTAAACAAAAGATAGTGGGGAGGGTGCTAAATACTCTAATGACTTTTTAATAATTTTGCTGTTTGGTAGGGGGCAACTTTTTATCATTCTTTTTGGGGGTAGATTTAGAACTTTAGGGATTCAATACAACATATGTTAAGTGTTTGTAATATAATGGTCACTGTGTTAGGCAACAGGGTTACAGTGATGAAATAAAATATTTCCATCTTCAGAAAATTTCCTGTCTATTTGGCGAGTTGGGATGAAAAGGGATTGATGTAGAGTATGTAAATAAATTACTGGTCCAGATAGAAGAGTACTCTGAGAAATTTGAAGAGTGAGATTATTTTCAGACTTTGTGGAGAGACTAGTACCATAGTTGAGCCTTTAAGTAAGAGAGAGTTCAGTAGACGAAGATGGGCATAGATAGGGTTTTGGAAAGGAGATAGAAAGTTCATTCCAGGGATGACAGCCTGCTTAAGCAGATTGTCAAAAATCAAGACAAGAATGAGGAGCAGAGAATAATCAAATTTGACTGGAACATGGGATACATCAAGTATTGTGAAATAAGACTAGAAAGGTAGATTGGTGCTAGATTATGGAAGACCTTGAATGGAAGGATGTCATGTTTATATTTTATTCAGTGGGTAACAGGAACCTGCTGAAAGATTTTAAGATTTTAATATTATCTGAATGGTACATTAGGATAGATATACAAGACAACAGTGTGAAGGATAGATTGGAAAAAGGACAGGCTGATGGACACAGGAAAACAAGTTAATAGGCTATTATCCAGTTTAGAAATTACAGATGACCTAAATAAGGTAATGGCAAAGTGAATTTAGAAAGGAAAAAATAGATACAAGGAGTATTACATACATAGGTAGAGTTTAGCAACTAGTTAGATATGTGGGTAAGACAGAGCAGTGGACCAAATATGAAATCAAAGTGCCTGGGTTCCTCAGAGGAACTCTCTGAAGAACTTATTTCTCATCAAGATAAATAAGTAAACCGAGGACAGCAGGATGCAAATGGAAAAGCCGTAAGAAGGACAATGCACTAGTCTGAAGGTAGAAGGAGGGATAGTAAGGAGCAAATAAGGGTAATATAAAGGGAAAAACAATGCATGTTGAAGGCAGACTACTTATTTCTGAGAGTGTTTAGTTACTCCACAAAATCACGGAGGCTCTTAAGAGATCGATTGGATCTCAGAAGCCATCCAAATCAACTTGTATGTGCTTAGCATACGGTGAAGAGGAGTGTACTACCTCTTGAGCAGTCCATTCCACTTCTGTGTAACTTAACCATTAAAATTTTTCCTTATAATAAGCAGAATATGTGACTTTGTCACTTCTATTTATTTCTCCTAGTTCTGTTCTCTGGGACCAAGCAGAACAGGTCTAATTAATTCCTTCATGACAGCCCTCCAGATACTTGAAGACAGCCATCATCTCTTTCCTAAATCTTCTCTAGGCTAAGCATCCCTAGTCTTCAGCCAAATCACATATGTCATCTTCTCCAGCCTTTGCACTGTCTTCAGCATACTTTTTTGGCTTACTCTAGGTTATCTTTGTCTTTTCTGAAATGTGATGCCCCAGACTGGATCTGGCAAAAATATTTACCTCTTTTATTATAGACACTGTGCCTTCCTTATTGCAGCTTAGGATAGCATTAGCTTTTTCACTGTTATACCTGCAACAGTTGATTTATATTAAGCCGATAGTCCACTAAAACCTCCAGATAGTTTTTGCAAAAAACTTGTCTAGCTATGTCTGTCTCTACTTGTTTTTGTAAAGTTTTTTAAAATTTTTATTTAACTGATTAAAAAATTTTATTTAACTGAAACTTCTTTGCATTAAAATCCCTAGTTCACTTGTGTATTACTTGTACTTTGTACATATATACATCCCAGGTCTATGGGTTTTTATTGCTGGCTCTTGTTGAATGTGGTCTCTGATGAATTACTGATCCTGTCTTCTGCTATTCTTCCTCTGTTGTTGTACGTAGTACCTCTGTCGTGCCAGGCCCATCAGAGCTATGTGGAAAGATTTTTTCCTTTAGCTTCCTTTTTGGATTTACAAAATTGTATCCAATTTTTTTTTTAAACAAAGGAAAGCTTTCCATCCCTTGCCAAAAACCCATCATTACTATATTTGTCCAATGGTGTCGACACACAGATCTTTTTCTTAGACACTAACTTCTTAGCTAGTTGTTCACTTCACCTCTGTCCCCCAGAATCTCCAATTTTTACCCAGGTCTTTGTAATCCTTAGAAGTTCTTCCTAGGTTGGAAGTCAAAGGGATGCCCATCAGTTGGGGAATGACTAGACAAGCTGTGGTATATGATTATAATGGAATATTCTGTGCTATAAAAAGTGATAAGCAGGATGATTTCAGAAAAACCTGGAAAAACTTACATGAACTGATGCATAGTGAAGTGAACAGAACCAGGAGAACATTGTACCCAGTAATAGCAGTATTGTTCAATGAAGAACTGTGAATGACTTAGCTATTCTCAGCAATACAGAGATCCAAGACAGTCCCACAGGAGTAATGATGAAACATACTGTCTGCCTCCAGGGAAAGAACTGATATTGATTTAATACTGACTGAAGCATGCTATTTTTCATTTTCTTTCTTTCATTTTTTTCTTTTATTCAAGTTTTCTTATACAAAATGACTAATACGGAAATAATTGCACAGGTATAACCTGTAACTGATTGCTTACTGCCTCAGGGAAGGGGGAGGGAGAGAGAGAATTTGGAACTCAAAACTTTAAATAAAAATGTTGAAAAAAAATTTTTTGAAGTGCTTTCTAGGTTTCTTCTGCTGTTATCATTTATCCCTATATTAAGCTCCAGAAATGGGTAATAGTCATCAGGTTTGATAATTTTCTGGGGGCTCTCAACCTGGATACAAGTTCCAGGAAGACAGTAGACCTCTGGTTTATATGTCAGATTAACTAATAGTAGTCTACACTTTTCAACAGGGAGTCATTAGCAATCGCTTCTCTTTCACTCTCTGACCACTGTTGGATGACTTTTCGTTTGATGTCACCTGTAAATCTAAATCATTATTCCTTGCAACATAAGGTAGTCCTTCCTCCAGAGATAGTTTGGCTTCTCCCATCTACAGGAAGAGTCCACTATGTATTACATAGCTCTAAATGGTCTGTGGGCCTTTTTCCATCTTTCTTTGTGTTTCCCCTTCCCCTAAGTTTCCTGTGTCCTCTTCCATCAATTCATTTACCTTGTGTTTATTTTGTACATATCTGTTTATGTACATATCTCTTCTAGTTGAATGTTAGCTGCTGCAGAGCAGGAACTGTTCCATTTTTGCTTTTGTTTCTCCAGGCCTAGCATAGGGCCTGGCACATAGCTGGTGCATGATTAATTCTTGTTGGTTGATTGTTAGGTTATGCTATCTTTGAACTTCTTGACACAGGTTAAAATTTCCCTCTTCCCTCATTGCCTTCCTTTTGTCATCATTTACAGCTTTAAACACCTTCTTTCAAGGAATGATGTATTATCCCTGGTTCTATTCTCCCCTGGATAGTAGAGATGTGTTTCCCCAGTCTTTTAGGGCAGAGACATAGGTGTCAAATGATACCAGCAGGAAAATAACCGTAACCCACATACTGAAGTTCCCAGCAAAGCTTTGTTCGCTGCCCAGAGAGGCTTAATGGACATCATCGAGGATTATTGATGAGGACCACCTTGACCCAGATGAGTCATGTCCCCATTAGGGACTCATTTGGGTCAAGCTTGGGGGTCTTTTGGGAAGGTTGTACAGTAAACATATCTGCCAGTTACCTCCCTGTAGAAGAATAGTAGGTACCCCAGCATGGTAAACTCTAACCACTCTTCTTCCCCCTTTTCACCACAGGCATTTCTGGACGCCCTGCAAAACCAGAGTGAGGCAAGCAGCAAGATCATTGGGCAGTTTGGAGTGGGCTTTTACTCTGCTTTCATGGTAGCTGACAAGGTGGAAGTGTATTCACAGTCAGCAGAGCCTAGGAGCCCCGCTTACCAGTGGCTCTCAGATGGGTGAGTACATGAAGAAAGGCTGGGCCCTAAGGACTAGCACTTGGCATGTAATGTATTGACAACCTAGTAGACTGCTTGGGACTATTGCAAAGGGAGGGTTTGTGATTTTTTTTCCCCATATGTGGACAAATATCTCCTGTTTGCAAATGAAATAAAAGTTGAAAAATCACTAATTTGGAAAGAAACTTCTTAAAAACCCTGGGATGGAAAGAATCTATTTGGTTTTTTAGATGACGTCTATATATCAGTTTCTGATAAGCCAATGATGCTTGCTGTGGTAAATGTGAGTTATAGAGAATTTTGCAAGCTTTTATTTACAGAGTTAAGATATTTCCATCAATTCCTTTCATGTAGTAAGTGCTTTCTAACTATTTCTGAAGTGATTGAATTGAAAATCTAAGATACCAAATTGAACCTTTTACTTAGCTTACCTCATCATCAGAGGGTTGGACATCAGGTAATGAAGTTTTTGGCTTCTGCAGTCATGAAACTGTTCACTCACCTGTGGAGGGTTTCATGCTACACGTGGAGGGAATACCCAGACTGATGCAGTTTTGATTTCTGGAAGTATTTCAGGATTTCAAGTACTAGATTTATTTAACATTTGTTGAGCATTAAGACTTTCTACTGACCCACCTTCTGTCTCCTGCTGCACATGTTTCCTAAGAGAAGGCAACGAGGGGCCAAACCAACTTTCATCTATGCCACCATGACTCTCTAGACTTCCACTTTATGGTCATACTCATCTGATCTCCAGCTTCAGGGGAAAAGAGGGACAAAACCTTCCTCTGCCTCTGGGCCTTCCATCTCCTGCCGTGTGCATCCCTTGAGGGAATGCTGCTGGGACCAGTCGATACAATTAAACAACTTCTGTACGCCCCAGAACAAGGCAGCTTCCATCTCCTGTTGTGCCCTGATCTCTTTCCTTCTGTAATGTGGAAGCCCTCCCTGGAAGAGAAGCAGCCTTCCCTCTGACCTCAGGCTTTCTATTTCCTGCTACCTCACCTCCAGCCTCTGGAGGGAAGAGAAGTGAAATGGGGCCTCCCATCTGACTGGGTTTCTTCCATCTTGTGCTGCACTTGTCTCCTTTCTTATCTCCAGCCTCCTCTTGGCATGTACTATATTGACAACGTAGTAGACAGCATAGGAATATCACAACAGGAGGGTTTTTTTCCCCAGAGGATGAAGCACCATTTACAGCAGAATAAGTAGCATGCAAGGGGTCTGTAATTCCCATTTAACTAAATGCCAGCAAGATTCTAGACCCTCTCTGCCTGAGGGCTTTCCCCTGAAGTCACTTGCACTCTTCACAGTATAGAGATGGCAACACAAAGATGCCATTGAGTGGTATCTTCTACTCATTGATGAATATAACCACACCTGGTCATGCCCTGTACATCCCATTGATTCTGAACCCCTGTAGGTCATCATCCAAACCTCATTCCTCATCCCCTACCATCCAGTTTAGAGGTTCTCAAACTTATTTGGCCTACAGATTACTCAGAGCCTCCCTGAAAATCTACTTTCTTTAACCCTTTGATGGTTTTTTTGAAATGTGTATCATTTAAAAAAAATATAAAATATTACATATCTTAAATTTAATAATTTATGTAAATTTGTGGGTTTTTTTCTGCATTGAAATTTTGATCATGCATGTAACTGTATAGTATCATATTGTAGACAAGTCATTACACACACATATTTCTGCCATTGCATGCTGGATTTCCTGACAATGCACGACATGCTCACTTGCCAATACTTGCTTGTTAAGACCTGTTGGCAGACTTGACTACTGATTGGTTATAACTTGCATTTTGTGTATTTATTTGGAAAATAATGTAATCACTATGACTTTTAACTCCATCACACAACAGATGAAATATGTAGGAACATGGTTTTTCAGAATTTTCTTTTCTTCTTTCCTTATGCGTCCACTGCCCCTTTATTTATTCAATTTATTCAATTTATTATTTATTCAGTTTATTCAGTTGCTCTCCAATTGCACCCCAGGCTACTACCACCCCCCTGGATTGTTCTACCAGGAGGTGCTATCACCTACTTTGGGATCTTATGGACCAATTCATTATTTCCTTCCCCCTCAACCCTTCCACTCAAAATCTCAACCAGATGCTACCCGTTTCATGCATTGTGCCCTCTGGAATGCTTTTTTCATAGACAACAAACTTTCCTTCATCCTAAATCTTTAACTCTTCCTCTCCTTCCATTTTTTAGTAGTCACCAAGACCTGGCTTTCTTGTTTACAGCCTCCCTGGACGCTCTTTCCAGTACTGGATGCATTTTCACTCATTCCCCTTGACTCATTGGTTGAGGCAGGGGAGTTAGAATACTCCTTGCTCCCCATGCCACTTCCAGGCTCTCCCCATATCTCCACCATTGAGGAATCTCTCCTCCTTTCAGGTTCATGTAATCTATATTTACCACTCAATTAAAATCCTGGTAATTCATTTACAGCCAGGTGTCAGACTAGCAGCTGCAAAACTCAGGAGCCCAGAACTAGATTAAAATGTAATTGGGAAATGTTCAAGAAAAATAAAACAAAAATATAATACTACATAGCTAATGTTAATTTGTGGTATTCAAAGTCAGTACACACCTTGCAGGGATCATTTGTATTTGAGTTTGACCCCACTGTTGTCCAGGTCACCCCCCTTCCTTTCTCATTGAGTTCAGTAGCTGGTTCATAGTTTTTCTCTCCTCACTAACTCCTGCCCTTTCTTCCCCTCAGACTAAGGGACCTCATCATACATGATGACTCTTCCTCAAACACCCCAACCACTCAGTTTCTTAACCTACTCATTCCCATGACGTATTCCTCCACCCACCTCAGTCACAAAGATGGTCATATCCTTGATTTTGCTATTGCCCACAAATTCTCCACCTCCATATTCAAAAATTCCAGAATCTCTTTAACTGACCATAATGTATAGGTTTTCCACCACTCTCTCCTCTTTCCCTTACCAAACATTACTCTTTGTGCATACCAGGACTTCCCTTGATCTCTCAGTTCTCTCCCAGGCCATCATCCTTTTACTACCCCGTCTCTCCTCTCTTCTCCATCTTGGCTCCTTAGTGAGCCAGTTCAAATCTACCCAGCTGGCTTCTCCTACGTCCCCAGCCCCATTATCATATTGCTGATCTTTCCCTTGGATGACTTTCACAATGCACTGCTATTTCTCCTGTTCATTTGCTGTTGAATAAAGGTGGAGAAAATCTTGACTATTCTGAGTCCAGTACACATGTATGTTATACAAATGGCCCTCACTTGTTACAGAAGGCAAAACTTCTATACCTTCTAATTAACTCACTTTCTCACTGGCTTTTCCAAACCTTTTCATCCCTCCTCAAACTTCCCATGGCTCTCTCGCACCCTCTCAAATGAGAGCCTTGTCTCATATTTTATAGAAAAAAAATTGAAGCAATTTGCTGAGAGCTCCTTCTTCCCTACTCATCTCGTATCATTCAGCAGATGCCTTTTGCTACTATCTCTTCCCTCACCCCAATTCCTTCCATCCCCACTATCGTCCTATATCCCTTTTGCCCTTTGTAGCTAAACTTATTGAAAATCCATTGATGATAGGTGTCTCTACTTTCTTCTTTATAATCTAGCTTCCAACCTCATCATTCTATTGAACCTGCTCTCTCCAAAGTTACCAGTGATTTGCTAATTGACAAATCTAGTGGCTTTTCTCATTTCTCATTCTTCTTGACCTCCCTGTAGCTTTTGACGCTGCCAATCACCTCTTTTTTTGGGGGGGGGGTGAGGCAATCGGAGTTAAGTATCTTGCCCAGAGTCACACGGCTAGTAAATGTCAAGTGTCTGAGGCCAGATTTGGACTCAGGTCCTCCTGACTCCAAGGCCAGAGCTCTATCCACTGTGCCACTTAGCTGGCCCCCAGTCACCCTCTTCTTGATTCTGTCCTGTCTAGGTTTTCAGGACACTATTCTCTCATGGTTCTTCTTTTACCTTCACTGGATGGTCATCCACATCACACCCACTACTCAGTCTGAACCTTCTCTTTTTATACTACTTCACTTAGTGATCTCATAAGCTCCCGTAGATTTAATTATCATCTCTATGCTGATGATTCTCCAATCTACTTATCCTGCCTCAACCTCTATTAACCTCCAGTCTCTCACATCAACTGCCTTTCAGACATCAGAACTGGATGTCCAATAGACATCTTAAATTCAGCAGGACCAAAACTGAACTTACTGTCTTTCCTCTCACATCTTCCCCTCACTTTCAAACTTTGCTGTTACAACATCTTCCCAGGCCCCAAGCTCGGAACGTAGGTATTATCCTCAGCTCCTCAGTATCCACAACAACCCCACCCCTGTGTTAAATCTGTTGCCAAGGCCTGTCGATTTTGCCTTTGTAACACCTCTCTCATAAGCTCCCTTCTGTCCTCTGACACTGCCACTACTCTGGTCCAAGCCCTCATTACCTCATGCCTAGACTATTGTACTAGCCTGCTGGTGGGTCTGCCTGCCTGTCTCTCCTCAGTCCAGTCCATCCTCCCAATTGCCACAGTGACTTCCTAAAGAACAGGTCCAGCCATGTCACTCCCTACTCAATAAACTCCAGTATTTCCCTATCAATTCTGTCAAATAACAACTTAACCGAATGTCAGAAAGATCTGAAAAGTATAAAATCCAGTGTTGGCAGAGCATTCTGATACATTGTTGGAGAGAATGGTCTAACTATTTAAAGAGCAATATACAATAAAAGCACACAGAAATGATCATACTTTTTGTGAAAGCAGACTAAATGCCCCTCTCCTCCTTCATTTGGAAATTTTAAGAAAGAATTTAAAGATTAACCTACTCTGAGGCCTTTGGACTAATCTCAAAGAGAAGCTCTTATCAGTCGTTCTTTAACTATCAGTTCCAAAACAAAGTCCTGCTCTCCTCTCTTTAGAGAGTCTGTGGAGGACTTCTTCCTAAATGAATTAGGGCTGTCACCTGATAAAGACTGGGGAGAAGGGGGTGAACCTTGATTGATTGATCTGGAAGCAGTAGTTTTGCCCCATTCACTAAAGGGATTAGGTTAATGATCCACCTAAAAGAAACAAGAAACTTTTTTGATTATGTCTGTAGAAATATGTTTTGGATTCTTTTTTGACAGCTAAGTTTCCACTGCAAAGATGAGTTGAAAGTAACATGATTTACTTTGATGAATCAAACTGTTAACTGAATTGTTGTTACCTACGGTGTAAATCCTTGCTTGCTCTTAACTGATGACTGAAATTTACTTTGTGACATCAAAATGACTTGAGTTAGGTGTCCTCAGGTATGAAGAGATTCTTATGTTTAAACATTTCTTCCTTAGAATAATCATAGATGAATAAAAATTGTTTTGGAAGCCTTGTGCGTAAAGTGTAGAGAACAGAGTTTTCTTCAACGTTTTCACTTCTGTTATTCCTTTGCTAGGAATCTATTCCAAAGCCACTGAAAGGGGGAAAAGAGGATCTGTGTATTTAAAAAAAATTCATAGTTACTCTATTTGTAATAGGAAAAAAATTAGAAACCATCTGGAGAATATCTGAATGAGTTACGGCATTCTAATGTTAATATATTATGGTTTTACAAAAAAATATGAATATAAGAGAGGTAGCATGAAGTAGAGGATAGAGTAATTGCCTTGGAATTAAAAAATCCTGCATTCAAGTCCCACCAGACATTTACTATCTGTGTGATACTCTGTGGCTAAATCACTTAGTAGTCAGTAAAGTCTATGAAATGTCTGTTGAGTGGCAGGCACTGTGCTCGGTGATGGGACAGCAAAGAAAGGCATGACACTCTCTGCCCTCTAGGAGCTTACACTCTAATGGGAAATATGTACAAAGGAGCTGACTTGGGATGGGGTGTGCGGTGTGAAGTCTTGCAGCTGTTTTGGGAAGTGATGCCAGGAGGTGTGAGTTACATTGTTAATAAGTTCAGAATAATCAGTTCAGAAACTGGATCATAGGGAGTTAAGAAGAGAGAGAACAGAGAAAGTAGAAGCTCCTCTTGTATATGGACTTCTCGAGGAACTTAGCCATAAAGGACAGAAAGGATGTATGGGCAGCAGCAGGATGGACACGGACATGCTTGTTGATTGTCGAGCAGGAGCAGGTAGACAGGGACAGATTGCAGGTAAGTGAGAGATTGGGGGTGGGGGAGAAAGGGCACAGTCTTTTGGAAGTGGGATGGAGTGGGATCACTGGAAGAGACAGAAGGCCTGTTCTTAGTAAGGAGTAAGGCTGCCTCTTCAAATGAGGTGAGTGAAGGGGAGAAGAGCAGAAGGCATCTGTGTGACATGCAGTGAGGAGAAGGGGGATTCCCTCTCCTGTGTTACATAAATTTTCTGGGTTATCAGTAATCCTGAGATTTCTGTGTTGTGATTTCTAGTTCTGTCCTCAAGTCTTATGTGTTTTCCCATAACTTGGATAATTCTTTTTAACCCTCAGTTGCTCTGTATTGTGTGCAATTCTGCTTCATTTTTTATGCCTGATTTCTTTTTAAAGCATCTTTTAATTCTGTTTATTTCTTTTCTCAATTTTTAACATCAAATTTTTCTTTTTTCTACCCTATGGTTATTATTTTTAAGCAGTGCTAAATCTTGGCTAATCTCTTTGAATGTCATTTTTTTAGTTGAAGATGTCTCTTGAGAGATCTTGTGTAGTTTCCTGTTCTATTTCTCTTGCTTTAGGTTGCTTTGCAAAATTGTTAGGTTACTAGCATTTTTCATTGCTTATTTTAAAATTTTGATAGGTTTTTCTTTTCTTTTCTAACCATCTTTTCTCATAATAGTTTCTTTTCTGGGGTGGGGAGTGTGAGAAACTTAGCTTTTTGAGCATCTCAGTAACATCTTGAATTAGTCTTTCCATCTAAGGGCTTCTTGATAGTAAAAAGAGAAGTTAAATCTTTTTAAGTTTAAATCTTAGCTCCACTTTCCTTTTTCCAAAGGATATTAATTTTATTCTTCCTAAGCTACCTGATTTCCTTTTCTATTAGCATTGATGGCCTCCTAATTTCTTTCCTTCATTCTTGTCATAGATTATAACCCTTTTTATATTTTCTTGTATGTTTTGAAGAGAACAAGTCTGCAGGATTCTCATCAGCTTCCACGGTGTCTCCTCCTTGAGACATTGACCTTTGTAAAGAAAAAAAAATTACTTTGGAATCTTGTTTTTTCATTACGTTCCCCACTGAATCACCCTCACTGTCTTCCACAGAGCTCAAAACAATGAATGTTTTAAAAATATTTTTAAACAAGTGGGTAAAGCTAAACATAACCAAAAAAGTCTGACATTAGCTGCAGGGTTTTACAAAACACCATAGTTCTCCACTTGTGCAAAGCAGGGAGAAGTGCTTTCTCATTTTCAGTATTCACTTTGGATTGCTTTGTTGTTTTTATTGTTGCTGTTCTTTCCATTTATATTGTTTTAGTTGTTTGGTATAACATTTTTCTGGTTCTGCTTACTTTGCATTATTTCACTTAAGTCTTCCCTTGCTTCTCTGTATTGGTTATTTCTTAGAACCTAATAATAGTATCCATTGCATTCATGTACCCACAGTTTATTTAGCCATTCTCCAGTGTATGGACATCTACATTGTTTCCAATTCTTAGCTACTACAAAAAGTGCTGCTATCTTTTTGGCATTCACAGAACCTTTTTTTTCCTAGCGTTTCGATGTTTAGTGGACTCTGTGTCAAACAGTTTTGTTACATTTTTCAGAAGTTTCTAAAGATGTTCTCTAATAAAGGAGTGTTTTTGGTTGCTTTTCCCTACCCCCAAAATAATCATAGGTGGGTGGAATTTCTCATAAGTTGTGTAGATATTTCCAAAGCATGGATTGGTTTAAACAAAATGGCTTCTACAACTTTAACAAATTTCACATTGCTTTTGATTTTTCTAAAGCATGTTGGCTTATTTTTATTCCATTATATCATATGTGACACTAATACCAGCAACTCTGTGGTTTAGAGGAAGTACTAAATAAATGTTTATTTAGTTATTTATAACTCTGAAAACTGCCACTACTACAAATTTCCAATGTTCATTTTATGAAAATAAAACCAAATTAATACTTTGGCAAGATCCTATCAAGGTCTCCTTTTCTGGTTCTCTCTATTCTTCCTCTGTTTTTGTAGAAGATTTTTCCATTTGGTTTTCTTCTGTTCATTAGAGACATAAGACCTGGAAGGAAGAGCATAAAAAACACTAGATAGGACCAGAGATGTCCTGGAACCAGTTTATACCAGGGGAATCAATTGTTAAATTTTCAGTGAGAGCATTTTCACCTTGGAAAATGGCAAATGCTACAAATCAGGGCTTGTTTTATTTATTGTCTAGATAAGAGGTGTCAAACAATTACATCTTGAGCCAGATTAAAATGCAATTGGGAATATATAACGAAATAAATAAAAATACAATTGAACATAGATAATGTTAATATGTGGTTTTCCAAGTCATTATACTGTCTCCCAGAATCCTTAACCTCATGTTTAGTGCCCTCATTTGAGTTTGACAATAATGGTCTAGACTTAAAGAAAGTGATAGAAAACATGTCAGTAACGTAGATTAAAGTTAAAAGTATGTTGTGTATATTTGTTTATTCTGAATGAATAGCCAGTTGTTAAACATTTACCAGCACATCCCTGGGTAGGCCTCAGGAAAGTAGTTAGAATCTTTCCAAAGTATTCAGTATTATGTTCTTAGCCTTCCAGAACTCTTTCAGAATTCCGGCTTGTTAGAGCAACAAGCAATAACTAGTCTTTCCTAGATCAAAGCCGCAGTTGTTGGAGCCCTAAAGTTCTCTTTAATAATAAAGGGAAAGGTAAGAGAACAAGTATTTAAGTGTCTACTATGTGCCAGGCACTCATCTAAGTGCTTTACAAATAATATCTCATTTGATCCTGACAACAACCCTGGGAGGTGAGCGTTAATGTTATTCCCCTTTTACAGTTGAGGAAACTGAGGCAGACAGAGGTCAAATGAATTGCATAGGGTTTTACAGCTAGTAAGTGTCTGAGGCTGGATTTAATCTCAGGTCTTTCAGACTCCAGGCCCAGCACTCTCTTCATTGTACCACTAGTTGCCTGTAAATAATAATCTTGTACATTTCTATAACTGCAAGCATTATTGTCCTCATTTTCGAGAATAGGAAATCAAGTCTGGGAGACAGGAAGTGATTAGCTTCACACATACCCTCCCAGCTGTTAGGGGGCAGAGCCAGGAGTTCAGACACCCAGTGGAATGAATGCTCTTTCCAGGACAGCATGCTTGCTGGTAGTATGTAGTTTTCATGAAATGGAAGCTGTCATCTTGGTTACTATTGAGTGTATAGGAGAAACAGCTGTAATGAAGCAAATAGCTATCATTATTTTTTACTCTGGATGGCCATTTAGGATCTGTGCTTAGTTTTTTTCTAGCCTTTGGAAATATACTAAGGCAAAATAACTGATTTTCTGTTGTAAGATTTATTAATACTGATATGACATTATTTTTCCTCCTTCTTTTCCTCTTAGCTCTGGAGTATTTGAAATTGCAGAAGCTTCAGGTGTTAGAACTGGAACCAAAATAATCATCCACCTCAAATCAGACTGCAGAGAGTTTGCCAATGAAGACCGAGTACGAGGTGAGCAGAGAAGGAAGGACCCTTTGCTCATTGGCAGACCTTTGGTTCTGCAACCTAGACTTGATCTGTGAGCAGTGCATAGCTGAATCTCAAGTTCTGCCTTTCCTGAGATTCTCTGTACTGTAGTTCCACAGAAACATACTTAGTTGGGGTGGGGCTTGAGTGAGGAATAGTGGTGCTTTCCTATATAGGGCTGTTGATGAAAATCACAGCTACCCTTTTGAAGGGTAACATAAGGGGAAAAGGTACAGGAAGGGACCAGTAACAACATATGTATGTATGAAGAGAAAATCCTTGTGAATGAGTTGGTTATTATAATAATCATGATAATAAAAGTTTACATCTATATTTTGCGGTTTTAAAAAGCGTTTTTCTCATCAAAACTCTGGGAGGAATGGAGGTTTAGTGTCCATGGTTACAAGGCTAATAAGGAGATGGAGCAAGTACTCAAACTCAAATCTTCTGATTTCAAGTCCATAACCCTTTTTGCTCTATTGCCCTGCTTTTACAGCTTTTTTCTACAGCTTTTTGGCTAGTTGCATGTTTATCATTTGGTCAAAGTTTTCACTTAGACCTTATAAAAAGAGAAAGATTTCTTGGAAGCAGAGGATTTTTACTTGATCTCATTCCCTTTACAGCTTTCTGTTTCCAGTACATCTTAGGATTTTGAAATAATTCCATTTTAAATCTCCCCTGCCCAGCCAGTTGTTTCTTTCTACTCTTGCCCACCAGAGATGACAGAATCAGCTACATGCCCTCTAAATCCAATTATTTGAATCCTTCATAAGATCCATGGTTTCATCTCCCTTACAGATTTAGATTACATCTCATGAGTTGCTGTGGCCAACATTCTGGTGATGAATCTCATTACTTTTAGCTGGTTAATTCATTCAGCATGATCCAAAACTTGTTTTCTTACTCTCAGTTTTAATCATTAGTGTAATACTTGTATTTTATTTTATTTTCCAGATGTAGTAACAAAGTACAGTAACTTTGTTAGCTTTCCCCTTTACCTAAATGGAAAACGCATCAATACTTTACAGGTAAGACTTAGTCAAGGATCCCAAAAGGATATTCTGTAGATAGTCTTGGCAACAAATGGCCAGCAGAAAGGAGTGATGAAAGTTGCTAGTATCAAAAACTGAGTCCAGTAACCAGTCCAGTTCTCATCTATGTAGAACTCCCCTCTTCAAAATCCTCAAAAAATGGTTATATCATCTTCACTTGAAGACAGAAATCAGCAGTCAGTCCATCAACAAGTACTTACTAAATGCTTACTTAGCGTGTGCTATTGATGATACAGAATTCAGGGGGAAACAAAGATAAAGCAAAAACAGCCCTTATCCTCAAGGGGTGTACATTCTAATTGGGGGTGAAGTGGAACAACACATATAAATCAGAACATATGAGAGAGAATTTATGGGAAGTAACCCTGTAGAGGATGGTGGTGGGGGAGAAAGGGACAAGAAAGGTATCCTATTATCCAAGTTGGCTTGAGCAAGCCAAGGGTTCTAAGCCCCAGAGGTTTGGGAAAGACATTCCAGGTACGAGTAACAGCTGGTACAGAGACCTGAAGATGAGAGGTGCAGTGTCCTGTTTGAGGACCAGCAAATATCCTCTAGGGCTGAATCCTAGAGTGTTTTAAGGGGAGTAGACTGTCAGATTAGAAATTTAGGGAGTGACAAGGTTGTAAAGCACTTTAGGTAATAGGGAACCCTGGAGTTGATTGAATATAATAGTTATATGGTCAGACTTAACCTTTAAGAAAATCATTTTGGTAGCTATGTGGAGAACAGATCGGAGTGGGGAGAGTTTGAGCATTGGAGAGTCCAACTAAGAGGCTGTTGCGTTAGTCTAGGCAAAAAGTGATAAGGGCCTGAACTAGCATAGCTTTGTGAGTAGATAGAAAGGGATGTATGTACAAGATCATAGAGAAAGAAATTACATATTTTGGCAACTGATTGGATCTGTGCCGTAAGCAAGAAAGAGGAATAGAGTATGACATCAAGCCTTTAACCCTGGGTGACGAGAGAAAGTAGATGCACCCGATGTAGGTGCCTTTTTGAAAGAGTAGCTGAGAAAGTGAAGAAAACTATAGGATGAAAGATGGAGGAGGATGGCACAATCTAGTGAGGGTTTTTTTTTTTTTAATGATGTTAGGTGGGCATATTTGTAGGCAATAGTGAAGGAGCTAATAGATAAGGAAGATGCTGAAGAATGGGGGAGCAAGGTATGATGGCAAGGACAGTGCTAGAGAAATTGGGAGTAATTCAGGGTTGGGGTTTGGCAAATTATGATCAGTGATAGATTTTATTTTTAATAGTATTTTATTTTTTCCCAATTATACATAAAGACAATTCTAAAGTTCATTTAAAAAAAAAAAGTTCCAGATTTTTCCTTCCCTCGTCTCCTCCTCACTAAGACAGTAAGCATTTTGATAAAGGTTTTATATGTGTAATAATGTAAAACCTATTTCTATATTATTCATGTTGTGAAAGGAGAAACAGACCAAAAGAAAAAGCCAAAGAAAGTGAAAAGTAGTATGCCAGTCTGCATTCATACTCCATCAGTTCTTTCTCTGAATGTGGATAGCATTTTTCATCATGAGTCCCTTGAAATTGTCTCAGATTGTCGTATTGCTGAGAATAGCTAAGTCGTTCACAGTTGATCACCATACAGTATTGCTTTTACTATGTACAGTGTTCTGGTTCTGCTCACTTCATTTTGCATCAGTTCATGTAAGTCCAGGTTTTTCTGAAATCTGTCTGCTTATTGTTTCTTATAGCTCAGTAGTATTCCATTACATTCATATACCATAACTTGTTCAGCCATTCCCCAATTGATGGGCATCCTCTCAATTTCTAATTCTTTGCTACCACAAAAAAGAGCCGCTGTAAATATTTTTGTACAAATAGGTCTCTGTCCCTGTCTCTCTCTCTTTTTTAAAATCTCTTTAGGATACAGACCTAGTAGTGGTATTGCTGGATCAAAGGGTATGCATAGTATGATTACCCTTCGGGTATGGTTCCAAATTGCTCTCCAGAGTGGTTGGATCAGTAGTGATAGACTTTAAAAGACAAACAGAGAGGTTTATTTTTTATCCTAACGGCAATCGGGAGCCACTGCAGTTTATTGAGTAGGGGAGTGACATGGGCAGATATGTGCCTAAGGAAAATCATTGGCAGGTACCTGCACGTAGGATGGTTTAGAGTGAAGAGAGACTTTAGGCAAAGATACCTATTGGGGGTCATTGCAAACAACTAGACAAGTGACGATGACCTGTAGTAGATAATGTGGCAGCCAATTATGTGAGTAATTGAATGCAAGAGGTATTATGGAGATAGAAGCTATGAGATTTGATAACTAATTGGAGGCATGAAATTGACTAATGGTGAATATAAATTTAATATGGATTTCAAAAATGGCAAGCCACTGGAATTTTTTGAGTCCAGCAGTGACATGATCAGATCTGTACTTAACCATTCTTCAGTCCAACAAAGCTGGCTCCTCTGTTCTCATCTCTCCCTTTGCTCTGGTCTTCCCCCATGCCTAGAATATACTTTGTCCTCACTTTCTGCCACCTCATAGAATCCCTTTCTTTCATTAAGACAATCCCAGCACCACCTTCTACCCGAAGCCTTTCTACATTCCCCCAAAGACTAGTGTCCTCCCTCCCTAACCTCCTTGTATTTAACCTCTCTTTAGTTTGTATGTAGTCTATACATACTTATTGTATAAGTTTTTTTGGCCATTGTATGCTTAATACCTTGCATAGTGCCTTGCATGTAGTAAGTACTCAGTAAATATTTATTGATTGGTATTCTTAGGTTTGGCCCACCATTCTAGGTTCTAATTTTTCAAGTTCCACATCATGTGTTAGCTGTCCCTACTAGCTTTGTGTTGTCTGCAGATTTGATAAGCGTGGCTTCTTTGCATCTCCTTCTATATGCAAATAGAAGGCCCTTAATAGGATCATAAATCTTTTCCTGGAAGGAATTTCAGAGGTCATCCAGGCCCACTCCCTCATTTTGCAGATGATGAAACACATGCCAGGGAGATTAAGGGTCTTACCTGAGGTCACACGAGTAGTATGCATAAGAGGCAAGATTTCAGTTAAGATCCTCAGAGTACAGAGTTAGTGTTCTTTCTACTGTACTGCACCACTTGATTGATCACATGCCTTTATTTTAAGTCATGATTTTTTTTTTAAAGTTGGCATAAGGCAAAGGACAGATCCTTACAGACCTTCTTACAAGTTAACATCAACACATAAATGATTACTTGGAGTCATTCATCTTTATTGAAATAAAGTTTTCTTAAAATTTTTTTTTTTTTTTTTTGGTGAGACAGTCAGGGTTAAGTGACTTGCTCAGGGTCATACAACTAGTAAGTGTCAAGTGTCTGAGTGTCTGAGGCTGTATTTGAACATCAAGTCCTCCTGACTCCAAGGCCAGAGCTCTAGGTATTTCTTTAAATAGTGGTTTATTAAAAAAAAATAATAAATGGTGGTTTATTGTGAACCCTCTAGCCAACTTTTTGCTCTGGAAGTTTAATATCTCGATCTTATTAACCTTATCAGTCTGAGGCTTCTGAGGTAAGATACTTGCTCCCAAAGTCATATATTATTCTCTTGTTTTCTTCCCATTTCTATAACAGCCTTCCATGAATATCTTTATAACACTTCCAAAAGTAGTGCTTAGTTAGGCTAGAGAGTGGGGACAGTTGCTTCTGAGTTTTTTTCATGTCTACCCATAAACACCCTCTATAGGAGCTTGGAGAAAGAATCAATTCTCCTCTGATTGATTTGCTAAGTCCAATACTTTAAAATATCCAGGCCTGAGTACCATTTTGTTGACTGGAGCTAGCATTATAGATGTTGATTCACTAAAAAATTAAGTTAGACATGCTTGTCTATATTTACTTGATGGAAAGAAGCATTTTAAACGGATTGCTTTTCCGATTTATCTCCTTTTGTAGGCACTTTGGATGATGGACTCTAAAGACATTAGCGAATGGCAGCATGAGGAATTCTACCGCTACATTGCCCAAGCTTATGATAAACCCCGTTATACCCTCCACTACAAGACGGATGCACCACTTAACATACGGAGTATTTTCTATGTGCCAGAAACAGTGAGATACTCATACTCTGATTTTTAGTCTTAGGGGATGTGGTGAGACTGTAGAATGGAAAATAATGCAGTGCTTTCCTCTACTTAAAGAATAAACTTCCCATGGTTGCTTTCAATACTGGGGTCCCATAGCTGTGACTAAATGGAATAACAGGGGCAAAAGAAGTTAAAATATTTACTAGCAATGACAGCACCTTAGCTCCCTCATCAGATTATAACATAGATAATTCCTTGTCCACAAATAGAACTTAGAAGTTACATCTAAAGGAAAATATTTTTTGTTTGTGGATAGATTGTAAATACAGGTAAACTCCCACATATGGGTCAGAGGCATTTTGGGACTTATTGAAATGAAGTTTTTCAGGAGAGATAAAGAAAAGTCCAACCATTCAGGACTGTAAGCCTGAACCTGTTTTGGGCTAATAATATGACTCAAGGAGACCCCTTGTGGGTAGCAGCTGCCATCTATGGGTTACTCTCTCCTCCAGGTGCCACTGTGCAGGAGTCCAGTGCTTTTTGTAAAGATGCTGCAGATTTTGAGTTCTTGACAGCAGAACAGATAGATAGTAAAAAGAGAGAAGGCAGGGGTGGGAATGGAGTATAAAAAAATTGAGTGGTTTTTCTTTCCAAAAATAACAGTCCCCTTGGCTAAATACCATTAAATACTGTAAGATGCCATTGTTTTATTATGAAGGCTTAGTTCACTTTTAAAAATAAAAATCTCTGAGAAGTTCCTAATTAATTGTAGTTAACATTTAGCAAGGAATATTTCACAGCTAACTGAATGGGACCCTGTATTGAATGAGGGTGAGGGCATGGCAGGAAAGGAGAAAAGAGGAGGGGGGAGGAACAAATAGCTTCCTTCACAGTTTTGTCCAGGCCTTGCCCTGAAAACCTAGTCTTATTTTATACAATCTCTGTTTCCAATTAAAATCAATATCTTGATAACTCCCATTTACTTTTTTTAAAATAGATTTTTATTGATATTTTTAATTTTTATATCATCTTGATTTCCCTCTATGTCTTTCCCCCATCCTCTCCCAGAGCCATTCCTTATAACAGTTAGTTGTTTTTGGAAAAGAAAAAAAAAATCAGCAAAACTGCTTATTGTTTTGAAAAAGTATGACATATTTCATGTTCTACACCTGCTAATCTCCTCACCACCCTACCAGGAAGTACCTCCTTATGTCATATATCTCTTTTTAGGGGTCACACATGTTCTTTATAATTCTGTAAGATTCATCTTTAATTGTTTTGTAATTCTTTTCCATTTACATTGAAGTAGTCATCCCACTAGCTTTTAATATTCTTTCTTCCTATTCTGCAGAAGCCGTCCATGTTTGATGTCAGCCGGGAACTGGGCTCCAGCGTTGCCCTCTATAGCCGCAAAGTTCTGATCCAGACCAAAGCTTCTGACATCCTACCCAAGTGGCTGCGCTTCCTGCGAGGTGTGAAGGCTGGTCCTCTTTTTTCCCTTCCTCAGAAATGGTGGAACTTGGCCACATGTGTGGATGATACCTAGTGCCAAAGGTCTATGTTGAAATTACACTCCGAAAATTCCTTTTAAAAAACAATTCAGCCAGTCTGTGTCTGAGACCATTTTAAATGTACATTCATTCTGGAAAAGCAACTAAAGACATTAGCTTCAGAAAGATCTCTACCTTATCTAGTGTGCCAAATCTCTTTTTTTGTTCTTATCTGTAGATTTTAATCTCAAAAATCCACAAAAAATGTACTTGGAAGAATAATCAGAAAAATTGCCCCATTATCATTTCTTCTCTTTCATTTCCCCACCACCCCCAGCTGAGCTCATTTTCAGTATTAGCTGAGAAAATGGAGAGGATGATATTATTAAAGAATACTGTTAGGTGATAAATTTGGCTTACTTACAAGGAGACCCTGTGGACAGCAGTAAGAATAATTTGATGGGTGAATGTGAACAGAGAACTTGTGGGTCAGAGACAAACCTCTGAGAGAGTTGACTTTGTTTTTTTGGGGGGGCTTTTTTTTACACAAGGTGTTGTGGACAGTGAGGATATTCCCCTGAATCTCAGCCGGGAGCTTCTTCAAGAAAGTGCCCTTATCCGGTAAGCACATGTTAGAGGAGGAAACGTTGTATTTAAAAAGGAGGACTCCACGCCAGTGTTTTTGTCCTGTCATCAAGTTCCAAGCTATCAGCTGAGAAAATAAGAGCTCTAGAAATACACGAGTTTAGATGTCACATTCTCAAGTAAATCATAGGATTCAAATATACCAACATCACTTTTTCATCCAGAACTGTGACTGTTATCAGATTGGCCTGGTCCTTTGAAGAAAAATGGCAGATAAACTTACTCACTGAATCTTTAGCAGGGAAGATCTTTAGTCCATAATGCGAGGGGAGCTGTGAAAGTTTGAGATGTTGTGGCGTATTGGGTTAATGGTGTGGTTTTGGTCCACTATGACTCCTTGTCAAGGCAGTGAGGAGTTAGAATCTGGAAAGCTTCTTGTAGACTGACAGCCCGGAGGAGTGTTGTGGGGCAGGGCAGAACTTTGTGTCTGTTAGTCTCTTGTTTCCGACAGCCTTGGCTATCAGTAAAATGAGAGGGAAAAAATGGAGAAAAGATGGACAGTGTGACAGAGAGCTGAGGTATGGGGTGGACAGAACTTGGGCTTCATCAGCTCTTTTTTTTTCCCTTTTATATTTTTTGTTTTTAATTTTATTGATCCATAGTGTTTTGGTACAACAGACTTTTCCAATAAATGCCTAAAAATCAGTTCATTTCTTATAACAGAAAGAAGAGATGCTGCTTTTGACTTAGACAATGTTACTAACATTAAGCATTGTAGTTGACTAGTGTTTTATTATCTCTGCAAGTTAATTTTATTTATAAAATTGTCATTGTGTATATTGTTCTCCTTTTGTTGTACATCATTTCATACAAGTCTTCCCATATTTTTCTAAATTATTCACTTTGATCATTCCTAGTACCTTAATATTCCATTGCACACATGTACCATTGTGTTTTCATCCACTCTCAATTGTTTAGTATATATATTTTTCAATTCCAGCTTTTTACTGTTACAAATAATGCTGTTAGGGACATTTTTGTGCATTTGGGTCTTTTCTTGCTGTGATTCCTTAGGATATTTTCCTTTAGTGGAAGCGTTAGGTCAGAGTATGAACAGTTTGGCAGCTTTTATTGCACAGTTTCAGATTGTTTTCCGTAACTGTCAAACCAATTCAGAGCTTAATCATTAGTGAAGCAGTATTCCTTTCTTACCATTGCACTGCCAACAATGAGTTTTTCCATTTTTTAGCATCTTTGCTAGTTTGGTAGATGTCAGTTGAATCCTCTCAAGATTGTGTTAATTTGCATTTCTCTGATTATTAATTTTTTTAACATTTCTTTCTAGTAGTTATTCATAATTTAATCTTAAAGATTTGTTCATTATTGAATGTTTGCTCCGTGTACAGAATATTGCACTAGAGGTTGGAGATACAGGGGATGAAAAATGTTCCAACCTGTACTCTCAAGGAGTTGGACAATTCAGTAGGGAAGTGTTTGAAATTAATGTATTGTTAACGATAATTTTTTTAAAAATTTCATTCTGCAGAAAACTCAGAGATGTTTTACAACAGAGACTGATAAAATTTTTCATTGACCAGAGCAAAAAAGACCCTGAGAAGTATGCCAAGTTCTTTGAAGATTATGGGTTGTTTATGAGGGAGGGAATTGTCACTATTGCTGAGCAGGAAGTCAAGGTAAGAACTTATGTTTTCAGGCCTCCTTTTGGCCTTAGATCATAAGGCATCATTGAAGCAGGACAAGTCTGGGAAGGAAATATGAAGGAATCAGTGCTAGGATCCAAGGGCTCTGGGCTGGATTACAAGGCAGTAATTTTCCTTTTTTTCATTTCCCCCAGTATTTAAAAATCTGACATCCCATCTACCTCCTAAATAGTGTCAAAGGAAGGACCCTCCCAACTTATCAGAAGGGATAGCCCTAATCAGGCTATATTTTTTAGGCATCATGAGTAATATTACCACCAGACTCCTCTGGAGGGGTCAGTCAATTAGCAAGGACTTTATTATGTACCTACTTTGTGCCAGTCATTGTGCTAGGTGCTAGGGATAGAAAGACAGTAATCAAAATGTCTCTGCCCTCAAGAAACTTGTATTATATTGGGGAAAACAACATGTGCACGTAGAAAATACATAGAAAATAAATACAAGTTAATATAAGTGGATGTAGACAGTGATGCCTTGCTGAGCATATGGTCATGTTGAATGAGTTGTAAACTAGAATTTTTATACTTCATTCATTTCCTTGAATGTCGGTCTTTCTCCTTCCTACCTCCCCCGCCTCCCAAAAAAGAGCTCTCTTTTGAAAGGAGAAATGATAGCAATTGAAAAAGGATTAATTTACTGTAAGACTTGTTTTTAAACAATCCTTTCAGTTCAGATAAAGAGGTTTCATTTATTTTTATTTTCAGTGCTCCTTGTCTCCGTGACTCTTCTTTTTTTTTTTAATTTTTTTTTTTTTTTATTAAGACTTGGGTTTTGAACTAGACAGATTTTGAAGGGAGATTGTAACCAGTGCTCATACTGACATGATACATGTAGCCCTCTCTGTCATACCCGTAAGTGTTCTCTCTGTGGATTTGCTGGTCACCTGAGATCCTCTGATTAACCTGTCAGGCAGGGACCTGAAATCCTAGTTCTTTTGCACCCTACTCTCTCCCTGTGTTCACAGACATTGTCTTCAGCCTCTTTTCTTCTTTTGTTTTGTTGGTTGGTTGCTTTTTTTAAAAAATGCATTTTTATTGATATCCTTTGTTTTTACATCACCCTTATTTGCCGGTGTGTCCCTTCCCCCTCTTGCTTATAGAGAGCCATCCCTTCTAATAAAGAACAATATTGAGAAGTCTAATATCATATGTGGTGTTCCAAAATTCCAGTCTTCCCCCTCTGCAAGTGAGGAGCATGCAGAGGCACCTTCTTGTGGCTCTTCTTTGGGGCCAAGCATTTTAATTTCACAGGATTAATTTGCATTGCGTATTGCATGGACATTGTTATAGTCATTGTATATATATTTTTTTGGTTTTGTTTAATTTTGCATGAGTTTGTTTAAGTCTTTCCATGTTTCTCTGTATTTATCATAGTTGTCATATCTTAATGCACAGTGAATAGTTCTGTTATATTTGTGTGTCAGATTTTGTTTATCTATTCCTCAGTGGGCATCTACTTTGTTTCCAGTTCTTTGCTATTACAAGAAGTGCTGCTCTAACTATATTGGTTTGGCCCTTTACTCTAAATTCTGGTTATCCTGAATTTCTTTGAAAGGTATAGACAGGTTCACATCTTCATCCCCCTTCTGTAATGTGTGTATTTTGGCTGGTTTTACCTGATTGCTGTGGGATTTCCTAACACCTGGATGAACTTTTAGATTCCTATTTCCATACAATCAAACTGATTTAGATCTGTAAAAAGGTTAATTTCTAGAGAATAGGAATCCACTAGAAGAGGGCTTTGGGGACCATAACTGGGTCATAGTAGTAGAAAATCTCTGGTTAGAGGCAGCCACATTTCTTACCTGCAAGGATACCCAAGTTAGTTGAATACCTTATAACTTTTTTTTTTTTCCTGTGAGGCAATTGGGGTTAAGTGACTTGCCCAGGGTCACACAGCTAGTAAGTGTCAAGTGTTTGGTCTAAGGCCTCATTTGAATTCAGGTCCTCCTGACTTCAGGGCCGGTGCTCTATCCACTGAGCCACTTAGCTGCCCCTTTTAAAGGAATGCACATTATTTATTGGTTTGTTTTGTTTTTTGTTTTTTTGGTGAGGCAGTCGGGGTTAAGTGACTTGCCCAGGATCACACAGCTAGTAAGTGTCAAGTATCTGAGGCTGAATTTGAACTCAGGTCCTTCTGACTCCAAAGCTGGAGCTCTATCTACTGCGCCATCTAGCTGCCCCTTATAACTCTTTTAAGACATGACCAGCCAACCCACTTCATTCTGGAATTACAGTAGGCAAAGAGAACATTTGTTACCCCTCTGATTCCTAGGTTTGTTTGGATGAGCTGATTGCCCAATTCCTTTGTGGTTTGTTTTTGTTTTTGTTTTTGTTACTGTATCATATACATACTGTATATGTGCTTCTTGAAGTTGTTTGATCAGACATTTCAGGCTACTTGAGGGGCCCCGTGGAACCCCAAACTGTCTACCAGCATGTCTTCTAAACTAGGAACTGACCTCAAGTCATTAGTTTAGTGTATATGTTGGTTTCAGAGTCCTGAATCACCCATGATAGGCCCCAGGAGGTCATGGAAACATCCTAGCAACTAATTGCCCTGTCATCATCTTATTCCCATTAATAAGAAACCTCAGACCCAACACAGAAGATTACATGGCTGAAACTACCCTCTTTGTTGTATTCCCAAGTTTCATTAGATACCTGTGTCATAATTTTTGAGCTGGAAGGAACCCTAGCAGTTATTTGGTTTAATGTCCTTATTTTATATGAGGAAACAGACCATGTGGTTAAGTATTTGTCCAGAATTTAGTGGTAGAGGCTAATGTAAAACTCAGATTTCCTACTTACTAGGAAGTACTCTTTACACTATGGAAAATAGTTGAGGTGGGGGTGGGAGGTTGAGGAGTGACATGCTCAGAGAGACATACGGTATGGAAACAGAGCAGACTAGAACAAAATATCCTCTTTAACTAGTAGCTTGTGTGGGTTACTCCCTAGTCCTCTGAGAAATCTAGCCCAGTTCATCTTGGAGCTGGTCACTGAAATGTGCCCCCACCTCCATTGCCAGGAGGATATTGCAAAGCTCTTGCGTTATGAATCATCAGCTCTGCCCCCTGGCCAGTTGACCAGCCTTGTGGAATATGCCAGTCGAATGCAGGCTGGTACCAGAAACATCTACTACCTGTGTGCCCCTAACCGACACCTGGCTGAAAACTCACCGTACTATGAGGCCATGAAGCAGAAAAATATGGAGGTAAGTGAACTGTCAGAGTCATGTGGGCTCACCTGAATAGCAACTAAGAGAAGCCTGCAATTAACCTTATTACAGATATGATTAAAGTTGGCAGGATAGGATCTAGAACGTGCAGCAGAATCACTCACTCACTATGACTTCTAAGATTGGAGCTCCAAGATACCTTAAAGGCAATTGAGTCTAACTCCCTCATTTTACAGATGAGGAAAATGAGGCACAAAATGATTAAGTGATTTACTTGGAGTCTTAAGACTAATAAGTGTTTGAAGTGGGATTTGAATCTCTGTGATTCCAAGTCCAATACTTTTCCACCATATCCCGCTGCCTTTCCATGGTCCAACTTTAATAATTCATCATCTTCATCTTCCCCAATGCTTTTGATCACCTCTGAGCAGCTTCAGTTTTCTGGTTACCTATGCTCCTCTGTACCTTCTCCCAGGTATCCAGTGTATAGAGTTACATGAGATTAAGATTTTGGGGAATGTATATAGAAATGTAATCATTTCTATATTACAACTAAGTTATATATTTAATATATATTCCAGGAGAGATATTTCATACTCTGTAGGCTCAAAGTTAATTATAGTTTTGCTGCTACTGTGTTTGAATGTTGACAGACAGATAATGAATGATTTATATGAAAGAGGACTGAATAAGGGCTTGAAAGAGGACTTGCATTGGCTAATACCTTATTTTTGCTCATTTAGTCTTCATAAAAAGGAAACTATAATGAAATATTTTAACAAAATTCATGTAGACTTTAAGAACTAAAAGGTACCTTAGAGGTCATCTATCCTAACTATATCTCTAGTGATAGAGATTTTGCATCTAGTTCCTGAGTCCTAGTCTTATTCCTAATGCCTTAGCAGAGTCAGATGCTTTCCTCGTTATAAACCATTTCTTTTTTGTTTTTGTTTTTTGTTCTCGCTTTTTTGGTGAGACAGTCGAGGTTAAGTGACTTGCCCAGGACCACACAGCTAGTAAGTGTCAGGTATCTGAGGCCGGATTTGAACTTAGGTCCTCCTGACTCCAAGGCCGGAGCTCTCTCCACTGTGCCACCTATAATAATGCTACCCCATTATGAACCATTTCTAAAAATAATTCCAAACAATCTGCAACTTCTCCCTAGTATATTATTGGCTGCCCCTGACTAGGAAATTCGATGGAATAAGAGAAGCATTTTTTATTCGCTATACTCATTGTTATTCTACCACCATGAGTGACTTCTAGTAACCTTGGGTCTATGTAAATGCTATCTGGCTCTTCACAGGTGCTCTACTGCTATGAGCAGTTTGATGAATTGACTTTATTGCATCTCCGAGAGTTTGACAAGAAGAAGCTGATTTCTGTGGAAACTGATATTGTTGTTGATCACTACAAAGAGGAAAAGTTTGAGGAAGGTTCTCAAGGTGGGCTCCTTACATTTACAGGTTCCCATTCTCTCACTAGTAGGTAGTAGCATCGCAGTACATCCTGCCATGGTAACCTGTGTTTCCTAATTACTTAATCCTAGTTTTTGTTTAAATGGGGGAGAGGTGGAGAGTAGATATTACAGTAAGCCATAGTTGAGATAAAGAAGGCATCAAACTGGCTTCAGTGTGCAATCTTTTACTTAGGTTTCTTTACTGTCTTACATATTAGTGAATTAAGCAGATTAAAAAAAAACTGTATATTGTTCACAGTGATTATTAAGACAGAAATTGATTGGCGATGGATTAGTGACAAATGATTACTCATCAGGAACCTGGAGATTTTTCAGATAGCGAATTGTGGCTCCTTGAAATTGATCATGCTGCCTAGTCTGTTTATTTAAAAAGCAATAATATTTTTGCTATTCCAAATAAGATGGTATGGATCCTTTTCAAGATCCTAGGTGACAAGAAAATCTTTTCTATTTTTCTCTCTGAGTTTTAAATAAAAAAGTTTTTTACTTAGCCAATGTATTTTTTTTCTACTGTGGTTATACAGCCATTTCAAGTCTCAGGCCCATTGGTGTTTTACAGTGAAAGTTGTCATTTTGATTTCTTTTGGGAGGCATGGATATAACCCAAACATACAGGGATTGAGAGGAAGTGTCATTTTTTTTTCCTAATTAATTTATCTATTTTTAGTTTTCAACATTCACTTCCATAAGATTGTGAGTTCCAAATTTTTTCCCCTTACCCCAAGACAGTGTGCAATCTGATATAGGCTATACATATACATTCATATTAAACATATTTTCACATTAGTTATGTTGTAAAAGAAGAATTAGAACCAGTGGGAGTAACCACAAGAAAGAGGAAACAAAACAAAAAATATGAGAGAAAGCAAATAGTATGCTTCCATCTGCATTCAGACTCCATAGTTCTTTCTCTGGATGTGGATAGCATTTTCCATCCTGACTCTTTTGGAGTTATCTTAGATCCTTGTATTGCTGAGAAGATCTAAGTCTGTCAAAGTCAATCATTACACAGTATGATTGTTACTGTGTACAATGTTCTCCTGGTTCTGCTCATTTCACTCAGCATCAGTTCATATAAGTCTTTCTAGGTTTTTCTGAAGTCTGCCTGCTCATCATTTCTTAATTGTACAATAGTTTTTCATTACATTCATATACCACAACTTGTTCAGCCATTCCCTAATTGATGGGTATCCCCTCAATTTCCAATTCTTTGCCACCACAAAAATAGCTGCTATGAGTATTTTTGGTTTTTGTTTTTGTCTTTTGGTGAGGCAATTGGGGTTAAGTGACTTGCCCAGGGTCACACAGTTAGTGAGTGTTATGTGTCCGAGGCCAGATTTGAACTCAGGTCCTCCTGACTCCAGGACCGGTGCTCTATCCACTGTGCCATCTAGCTGCCCCTAAATATTTTTGTACATGTGGGTCCTTTTCCCATTTTTATGATCTCGTTGGGATACAGCCCTGGAAGTGCTATTGCTGGGTCAGAGGGTATGCACAGTTTTATAACTCTTTGGGCATAGTTCCAAATAGCTCTCCTGAATGATTGGATCAGTTCACAACTCCACCAGTAATGCATTAGTGTTCCAATTTTCCCACGTCTTCTCCAACATTTATCATTTTCCTGTTTTGTCATGTTAGCCAATCTGATAAGTGTTGTGTGGTACCTCAAGAGTTGTTTTGATTTGCATTTTTCTAATCAATAGTGATTTAGAGCATTTTTTTCATATGACTGTAGATAGCTTTGATTTCTTCATCTGAAAACTGCCTGTTCATATCCTTTGACCATTTATCAATTGGGCAATGACTTGTATTCTTATAAATTTGAGTCAGTTTCTATATATTTTAGTAATGAGGCCTTTATTAGAGACACTGGTTATAAATGTTTTCTAGCTTTCTGTTTCCCTTCTAATTTTGGTTGCATTGGCTTTATGCAAAAGCTTTTCAATTTAATGTAATCAAAATCACTCATTTTGCATTTCATAATATTCTCTATCTCTTGCTTGTTCATAAATTTTCCATTCTCCGTAAATCTGACAGGTAAAATACTCCTTGCTCTCCTAGTTTGCTTTTTATGTACCCATTTTGACTTCATGTTGCTCTGTGCCTAATTTCTGCCATACTTAGTTAGGAAGTATCATTTAAAGAGACAGTTTAGTTTCTAGTTTTCTTTCTGTTCTAGCTACTGAACGTCTTTCTGAGAAAGAGGCAGAGGATCTAACAGCCTGGATAAGAAATGCTCTGGGTACTCGGGTAACCAATGTCAAGGTGAGTCTGCTCTCGGTGTTTGAGGCTAAAGGTACAAAAGCAAAATTGATGAATAGTCCTTAGACACCGACTAAGTGAATGTGTGTGTCTGTGTGTTCATGCCACTGTGCCCTGTCACCATTCAGGAAAAGTTAAATAGGTTTCCCTCTCAGTTCATATACTAAAACAAATAATCTTGACATAGCCAAACACACTGAATACACTGTCGGGACAGTTATGTACAAATTGCATCAAATAGCTGGCTGTTCATAGAACATTTAATTCTGTCTCATATTGTATCTCAAGTTATATTATGTATGATTATCTTCAAAGGAAAGGGAGTGAATAAGCTTGGATCTCTACCTTTTCCTCCTATTTAGTGGAAAAAAACTTTGTAGAGAAGGTGGGAATGTAAACAGACTAATAAAGTAAGCGGGTAAGAGTTCTTGGTGGACCTTGAAAAAGGAATCTTGTTAGCCTACAATATTTGAGTCCTAACTCTTCACGGAATACTAAATGAGGAATATAGCATGATCTACTGTGGGAAGATAGAGAAGAATTAAGATATAAACCCAGTTCTCCAGAAGCTTAAAGCTCCTGGAGAGTCCAGCTGGAAATACAGAACCTAATAAACACAGGAATCTAAGAACATTTACGAAGAAATGCAAATAGAAATTAATATAGAGCAGGACCAAATGAAGGCATAATTAAATATTGAAGGGTTACAGAGGAAAGGAAGGTAGAGTACAAATGAAGTCTGTATTGAGTCAGGTATTGCAGAATGGTAAGGGACACGGATTGATCAATGAGTGAGGGGGCATTCTTGGCAAAGGCAGCGACAGAAACAAAGACATGCAAATGAAGACATCAGTCTTGGAGGAAAAGATAATTAAATTAACTTGTCTCAAGCTATGTCTCTTAAGTAAATTAAGGACAAGTGAAATTTGTACAGTAGACAAAGAGTACCAGAGTTTGATGAAGAACCTTGAATAGTAGACTGATTTTGGATCTGATGTGATTGTGGCTGTGATAGTACATTATGCATTCTTGAACAAGGAATGAATATGATGAAAATGGGGCTTGATTATTTTAGCAGTTGTGTAAGATTATTCCAGCAGATGTGTTGGAGAATTTAAGGCAAAGGAGTGAAATAAAAGACTGATGCAACTATCAATGCAAGGTAATAGCAGCCCATTGAGACAGGGAGGAGCTGTAGAAAAGATATTGCAGAGTCAGGAGACCTTGGAGCTGGACTGCTTGTGTTGAAGGGTGGAAAGATGAGAGAGTATGACAGAGGACAGTTTAGAATGGCTTAACTTTGAACTTGGTGAAATCAGAGTAATGGCTGAACCGTGGACGATGGAGGTGGGGATAATTCCCAGTCAGGATTTTGTAACAGTATCTCCCTCCTAGCACACATAAAACTCCTTAAACACGTGCCTCTTCTCATAAGTCTAACTGCTCAAGTTCTCAGGTGTTGCCCTTATAATTGGTGAATAGCTGAGAGGGAAACCTTAATTAGAAAAGTAGCTAATTAAGGTTTGTAAAAATATATTTCCTTGGAAGAACAGTTAATGGTTAATCATGTCTTGTTGTCTAAGAGGAATTTGAACATTGACCTTATTAAAATTCTGGCGTTCCTTTCTGTGCCTTCTCATCACGTTTGGTCTTTAGGTGACTCTTCGTCTGGACACCCACCCTGCCATGATCACTGTGTTGGAGATGGGGGCTGCCAGGCATTTCCTGCGCATGCAGCAGTTGGCCAAAACCAATGAGGAACGTGCCCAGATTCTACAGCCCACCCTTGAAATCAATACCAGGTACAGATGACTGTGCCTAGGGGTTCAGTCAGCATCTGAATTTCGTCAGAGTCATTTTCCCTGTAATAAATGAACGAGTCAACTATCAGGCTGATGCTTAGTTAATAACGTATCTTCCTTTGTACCGTCATGGAGCAAGAAAGGTTGTCATATTTGTTGAGAAGAGAGGCTTCAGATTGAGGAAGAGAAAAAATGAAGCACAGTGTCTAAGGGATAATCAGGGTCTGAAGTCATTGGGGGAAGGAATTGGGGGTGTAGATCCAGCAGAAAGGCCAAGGCCAGGGTATACCACAGCAGCAGTGCTGGCATCAGTCTTGAGTTTGACCTCCTTCCTAGTTGCTAGGTTGCAGAATTTTGAACTTGACTTTTGTAATCCACAAGGCATAATAAATACTAGCATGGACATAGAGGTGGCATTACTCAGAGCCCTGGGATGAGAAGTATGAGAAGTAGTATAGAAAATTCATAACAAAAAGTTTAGTTCTGTGAATAATCAAGGAGTTGGTGGATAAAGCACCGGCCCTGGAGTCAGGAAGATCTGAGTTCAAATCTGGTCTCAGACCAAACACTTGACAGTTACTAGCTGTGTGACCCTGGGCAAGTCACTTAACCTCAATTGCCTTGCAAAAAAAAAAATAATAATAACCAAGGAATTGGAAATTAATATTTGTAATCAAGAAGTCACAGTGACCAGATAAAATATTATGTTCTTGCTCCCCCATCACTGCAGCATAAAAGTGTCATCTGCAGGGGTACAAAACTGAATGACTTGCCCTGAGTACATATAAGTCAGAAGAAATAGAAACTAATTACTATACAAAGAACCTGTGGAAAGCCTTGAAGAAATTGAAACTATTCTCAATGAAATTCTATAGCATATATCTATTAGAACTTTCTAACCTGTAGGTAATCCAGTTATTTTCCTCATAAATTTATTTTGATTTTATCTTGTTGCTAATTTAAAATTTTTTTTGTATTTGATGAGTTGAATCTCAAATTGTTCATAATAACTCATTAAGAAGAAATCACTGAATTAGTATATAACAACTTTCCTGAAATGTTGTCTTTTGATAGTTTCTTTTGTTTTTAGACATAAGCAGGGGTGGGGAACCTGCAACCTGGAGGCCATGTGTGGCCCTCTATGTCCTCAAGTGCAGTCATTTGACTGAATCCCCTTAATAAAAGGATTTGTTCTGTAAAACTTGGATTCAGTCAGAAGGCCCCACCCTAGGACCTAGAAGGCTGCAGGTTCCCCACCTCTGGATTAGGAACACTGGAATTCTATAGCCAGTTAAATCTTTCTCTTTGGACACAGGAATTGATTTTAGGTATAGTTCTGCATAATGATAAGGTGACAACTTAATGACCTTCCTCCAAAAGCCCCCTTAAAAATGTACCAGTGGGTTGTTTGCTGGGCTTAGCAAGGCTGAGGAAACTGTAGATGATAATTTTGAATACTGTAGTGCAGTTAGATAAATAGATGCATTGAACAAAGATAATAATTCATTAGTTATGACAATGTTTAAGATGACAGCATCTTTAAAAAAGAAAACTAAAGCATATTTTCACATATTTCTTACCAGTTCTGAAGAAATGATGTTCCACTTTATTCGATTTAAAATTTTCCATTTATGCATAGTGGCTAAAAGCTCCTTTCATCAACCATCCCATTTCCATCGAACACTGGTCCTTTCCCTTCTTTGACTCCCTTCTTCATCCTGATGTAGCTAAAATAAACCCCAGACTTCTCTGTTATTTTAGATTTTCATTCTGAGTCTTAGTGCTCCTGACACTATTCTGTGAAAGTGTCCTTGCTTTCATCTTTTCTACATATCTTTTTAAGGTCTAAATTGGTTGGTGAATTCTCTGTGTTCACATTGGTCTCTCAGATGACTCTCATTTTGATTCCTCTTCAGAATTATTTATGTCTTCTAATTTTCCTCTTTGAGATCTTCCCATCCCTTCTGAGCTGATTTCCTCTATAGGATCTGCTCTCCCTGAATGTAGGGCATATGGTAGCCTGTGCTTGGCTGCCCCCTCTTCTGCCACACAATGAGGCAGTGAGATAGTGAGAAGAGCTTTGAATGTGGTATCCAAAGACCTGACTTTAAATCCCTCACTTCCTTTTCATCCTGCCTTTGGCACCATTTGGGCCTGTTTCCACATCTGTAAAAGGAAAGGGCTTGCATTAAATGACCTCTGAGATCCTTTTAGGCTCAGATGTATGACCCTATGATTACCAAAGTCCCTTCCAGCTTGAAGTCTGTGATCCTATGACCCTTTGAAGTCTGCTCTCAAAATCTACGTTGCATATCAAGATTATGCTCAGCTTTATTCTGTCACAACTCAGGGCGCCTGTCATTTTCATTCCCAGCAACCCTTTGGAAAGATTCAGAATAAAATTTGCTGTTCTCCTTCACCTCTTAAAGGAAAAAAAAAATGTCATTAAACCAAGTCAGACAGTTATTGTTTGCTTTGCCTTTGGCAGAGAGAGAGAAGGCTCCAGCAGATGTCTGGATAACTGCAGTCCCTCCTCGCTATTTCATGTACACATTTCTGTGCAGGACTTGTGATCTGTTTCCCAAACATTTCTTTACTCTTTTTATTCAGGTGGTCTATAGGATAATCTAGTGAGAAGCTCCCTGTTGTTTCTGCCTCCATCGATTTTTAACCAAATGTTTTCTTTCTACCTTTCCTCCCCATATTTTCTTCAAGGCTACATGTTCTTACCCCACTTTTATCTCTTCAGTTTTTTCTGAGTGATACGTACCCAAATTCTTGTCATAGGTTTCACCCCACCAGCTCTGTGACACCTGGGAGGTTGTATTTGCCTCCTTGCTTTAGGACCTCTAGCTCATCTTTCTTGTTGCCTCAGCTTTGACCATCTGTGTCTGGACAAAGTGGATTTGAGGCCTTGGATCCTTTTCTTGAATTTTGTGTCTTACCACCTTCTGGTTGTTTCAGCTGCCATTCTTCTTTCATTATAGCTACTCTCTATGGTGTCTAACAGTGGATGTGCATTGACAGTTTTCCCCCTCCCGTCCTTTAAAGCCATTTTGATTAGATTTTCATATCAGAAGTGTACTTGAGTACTCATATATGTGATGTGTAACATGAATGGTGCTGAGCAAGGCCTTTCTGTCCCCAAAATAACTTCTTCACTGTCTGTCACAGTGCCTGAAATCCCCACTACTAGGGATTCAAAATACATTTGGGTTTTGAAGGCTTTTCAGTCTTCAGGAGTTTGATACTGAAATGAGAAAACCTTAGAAAAGGTAACATCTCAAACCTTTGTTAGTTAAAACTTTAGTAGGGATTATTTGGCAACTACCTGATCTCACCATACTGGGGACAGTTGAAAGGGGTATGGCTTTACTGGATACCAGGAACAGTAAGAAAGGGCCAAAGATTAAATAATTTTTCCTCTGTCCAGCCTTGATTAGGAGAGGAGTGTAGAACTTAGGGAGGGAGATCTTGATTGAAGTCTTTTCCTATTCTCTAAGGGCTATTTTGAGGTAATTATCTTTCTTGAGTTCACTGATGGGTTTTTTTTTCTCTTTTACTTTTATTCCATGTTCCTTTGTTCTAATCATCTCTCATCCAGACACTGCAGGCTGTAAAGTACTAGTTGTTTCCATAACATTCATGAGCTTATAGGTCTAGTCCATCATGCATTGTGTTTCCCAGTTCTGTATCTTACTGGTTGCTCAAATTGCTTTTAGGTTCATTTTGCCTATTTATTCTTCCCTTCCTCTGGAGCATCTGTGCCCATCAGGAAGTTTCTAGAAGAAGAAAGTAATGATGAAACACAAAACAGTTCACCAAGAACTTCTCAAAATTATTGGAAAACTGATAATCACCTTAACTGACTTAATGTATGTAGGTTTTTAAATAAACCATATATGGTTTTAAATAAACTGTATATGAATAAACCATATATGAAATTTTAAATAAACCATATATGAAAACCCATATTTTCTTTTCTTTCTTTTTTTTTTTTTTTTTTTGGCTAGGCAATAGGGTTAAGTGACTTGCCCAGAGTCACACAGCTAGTAAGTGTTATGTGTGTGAGGTCAGATTTGAACTCAGGTTCTCCTGAATCTAGGGCCAGTGCTGTATCCACTGCGCCACCTAGCTGCTCCAGAAAACCCATATTTTCAAAACAGGTTAATTAGAGTCATTATTTCCTTTACAAAAAGATTCTTGATTTTATAAAGGATTTATGGTAGGATTATTTTAAATAGTGAACTCCTTTAGTACAATTTTTAGAATTCTTTTTGTATGTCATTTTTAAAAAAAAAATTATTTTGACTTATCAACAATCACTTCCATAAGCTTTTGAGTTTTAAATTTTTCTGCCCCTCCCTCTCCACCTCCCTCCCTCAGTCTGATATAGGCTATACATATACATTCCTGTTAAACATATTTTCACATTAGTGGTGTTGTAAGTAAGAATTAGAACCAATAGGAGGAACCATCAGAAAGAGGAAACAAAACACAACCGAAGAAAAAAAATAGTGAACAGTATGCTTTCATCTGCATTCAAACTCCATAGTTCTTTCTTTGGATGTGGATAGTATTTTCCATCTTGAGGCCTTTGGAGATGTCTTAGATCCTTGTATTGCTGAGAAGGGTTAAGTCTATCAATATTAGTCATCGCATAACGTGGCTGTTATTGTGAACAACGTTCTCTTGGTTCAGCTTACTTCCAACTCAGCATCAGTATGTCATTTTAAAAAATAAGTTGCACCAGTATCAGGGCAATACTAGGTGTCTGGCATATAATCCAAGCACTGTCACAATGATAGCTGGTCTTGGAAACATTCTTATCACATTGGCCTACATTGCAGGCATCCTCTGATCAGGAAGCTGAATCAGTTGCGGGAGAGTCAACCAGACCTGGCCCAGTTACTGATTGATCAGGTGAGTATGAGAATGTCTCTCCAGAAGAATGCTCTTCTGTACCTACGGTTCCTGCCTTCAGGAAATACTTAAAAGGAAAAGCCGATTATGCAGCAGTTATGGCTGCTGCTGAGACATTTGTATTTTCCCCTTAAGTCCCATTTTGAGAAAGGATTCACTCATATCTTTCATCTATAGAAGAAAGTCTTTCTTGATGTTTTTGTTTGTATTTAGTGCCATGCATTAGAATAGAAATGAGAGACACACCCTGCTGGTTCAGAAAAGCCTCACCCACTTTTGCTGCATCTGAACCAGAGAAGGCTGGGGATTCCCAGCTCAGTGTGGCTTTCTTTCTCTTTTTTTCTGCTACACATTGATGTATATTACTTTTCTTTCCCTTTGCTTTGCAGATATATGAGAATGCCATGATAGCAGCAGGACTGAATGATGACCCTAGACCAATGGTGGGCCGTTTGAATGAACTTCTCACCAAAGCTCTTGAAAAACACTGACTGCAGCTGTATTCAAAGGACAGAAATCTCTGGCAAATTTTAACAGTCCTTTAAGGGATTGAATTCATTTTGAATTTATGGGGCATCAGAGGATGTACTCTTATTGTAGAGGGAGTGAAGAATGGAAATCTGTACAATTCATAGTCCCTCTGATCTTCTGTAGTAAAAAGTAACAAGAAATCTTCCTATTACGCAAAAGGAAACTTGAACTGTGAAGGACCAGCTTATACAAAGGGAAATATCAGAGATATAAACCTTTTGTCTTATTCAAAGAAATTAAAGTGTTTTTTAAAACCTCTCTTCTTGTTCTTCCAGAAGGTTAAGAGACTGAAATGATACTCTTTTGCTTTGCCTAGAATTAACTTGGATACACGTATGTGCTAATATTCATTTTGGTACTTACCTTTATAGATAAGTAAATACAGATACTGGCAGCTAGGTGGCGCAGTGGATAGAGTATAGTCTGGAGTCAGGAAGACTCATCTTCCTAAGTTCAAATCTGGCCTCAGACGTTTAACTAGCTGTGTGACCCTAGGCAAGGCTTTTAACCTTATTTGCCTCAGTTGCCTCATCAGTAAAACAACCTAGGGAAGGAAATGGCAGCCCATTCCAGTGTCTCTGCCAAGAAAACCCCAAATGGGCTTGCGAAGAGTTGGATATGACTGAAATGGCTGAACAAGAAGATGCAGATACACAAGGATAGTGTAACAATAGTAATGTCTTTATGCTGAAGTGATATTTGTGATCTGCCAGCAGTAAAAATTAGTTTTCTGCTGGATGTGGTGGAACACGTCTCTAGTTCCTGCTCCTGGGGAGGCTGAGGCTAATGGATTACTTGAGTTCAGGGGTTCTTAGCTAAAGTAGGCTAAAGTCTATTGAGTGTCTGGTACCAAGGTCGAAACTCCCACACCAATTAACAGTGGGATCATACCCGTGAGTGGCCACTGTATTTCCAGTCAACCCAGTGTTCCCCCTTATTCTTCCCCCTCATCTACCCCCCCCAAAAGGAAAGAAAATGATTTGAGGTTTCTGGAAATGGGAATGGAATTTATATTGAGGCATCCTGTACTCTCATCTAGACCCTCTTCTGACTCATGGCATATTTGCAAGATGTCTTTCAGTGATTGAGTGTGTAGTCTGTAATCATGGAGTCCAATAAAGCCAGTTGCCTATGTATTAATAAATTTGTGATGTATACATATATATGTTTATGTATATACACATTTGTGTGTGCATATATTATATATACATATATACACACACACACACACACACACACAAAGATAAGTATAACTATGGTTATATATTTTTGCTAATCTGAATGTTTGCCTTTTTTTAAAACCTCCTTACTCCAGTGCTACTGTCTCTCTGAGTTTGTAAGACCTCCTCTGTCTCTACCTCTGGGACACACAAAGCCAACACTGTTATAGGTTGCAGATATGAACATCTCCAAAGTCTATACAAAGCTGACCACATAAGAAACCAGTTTTCTCTGCAAGTTTTTGAGGGCATGAAAAGGTTTAGTCTTGTTTCTTCTTTAGTATAATCCTTCCATTAACTCCTCTGTTAGGTAGAGTCAGGCTTTGCCCACTCAGGTCACAGCCAGAGCTATAACTAGGAATCCTTTTTCTGGGAGAAGTTCATTTGAATTGGGAGGCTGCTCATGCCCCAGGAGTCTGGCTTGCAACCCCACATGGGATAGGAGGGAGAAAATTGGAGTGCTGTTGGGGTTGGCCTGTGGGCAGTTGTGTCTCAGTGTGCTGTGCTTGCCACATGGCATTGAGGGTTGTTTTGGGGAGAAAATTTGTGCACTCACAGGACAGTCTCTCCTCGTTCCCACCCCTACCCTGTTAACCCCCAGGGCAAAGCCCTGGTAGTCCTGTGCTGGTTAAAGCTATAATCACAAATGAGCTTCATCCGAACAAGGTAAAAAGAAAGGTGGAGAAACTCGAAAACACCCTTGTTAAAAGCTGCAAAAAAATCAGAAATTAGACTATTTCTGATCTAAAAGCTTTATTACATGATTCTATAATCACTTATAGTTACATTGCATTGAGACTTACACACAAGTGCATGTGAATTGACAGATAATGAAAATGTAATATAGATCAGGACCGTGAAAGTCATTTATGCAGATGAGCGGGCATGTTGTCCCTGAACACTTGGAATATCAAAAAATATTAGTAGAATCCATTATGTACCTGCAGTCTAAGCCACCTTAATATGTGCTAAAGAATAGTAAATGATAAGCGGAAAAAGCATTTATTAAGCACTTATATGTAAAGCACTATTCTAAGTACTGATAGGCAGAGACCATCCCTGCCCTTACAGAGCTTATATTTTTTTTTTTTTAAGGCTATTGGGGTTAAGTGACTTGCCCAGGGTCACACAGCTAATAAGTGTCAAGTGTTTGGTCTGAGGCCGGATTTGAACTCAGGTCCCCCTGACTCCAAGGCCAGAGCTCTATTCACTGCACCACCTAGCTGCCCCTCAGAGCCTATATTCTAATGGGGGAGATAACAGACTTAGAGGAGCAGTAGCCAGGCTCAGGCTCTTTAATGTTGATGGATGAGTAGGGCCATAGGTTCCTTCTAGGAACAATGACTGTTGACTTTGATCAAAGGCTTTCTTAGATTCCATTTAAGGTCTTTTTAATTCCTGCATTTTAATTCTGTAACAATTCAGGTGTTTTCAGGATCCTGACTCTAGGATAAGGTTTCAGTTTTAAAATCTAATCAACTTAATTGTCTCTTTCAGGCCCATGAAGGTAGTCAGCTATTGTTTTTTTTTGTTTTTTTTTTAATAAATCAGAGAGGATACTATCATCTTATATCTTCAGCAAATCCTATAACCAGTTTGTCCAAATCTAATGATAGAATACTTTGCACATTGACATTTAGGAGCCCATGTTAGGGGGAAGAAGGCAAATAAAGACATCAGCCATCATTTTCAGTTCTTTTGGTGACTTTGGCCAGAAGTTAGGGAAGTAGATGAAGTAAAGAAGTTAGATGAATATAGCCATCGTGGAGATTCAAGCTTTCTTCAGTGTAACCTCCACAGGATAATGATCACTGATGGCTAGAGCCTAAACAAAGGAAAAACCATGTGATTAGGGCTGTGCAACATTGATAGGAATATATTATTTTTTGTTGTTGTTGTTTTTTTGGATGATTAATTTTAGTTTTCAACATTAACTTCCATAAGATTTTGAGTTTTAAATTTTCTTCCCTTCCCACTTATTCCCCCCCCCCCCCCAAGATGGTGTACAATCTGATATAGGCTCTACATATACATTCATGTTAAGCATATTTTCCTATTAGTCATGATGTAAAGAACAATTAGGACTAATGGGAAGAACCATGAGGATGAAGCAATAAAACAAAACAATAAAGAAAAATATGGAGCATTGAGACTCCATATTTCTCTGGGTGTGGATAGCAATTTCCATCGTGAGTCTTTTGGAGTTGTCTTAGATTTTTGCATTGTTGAGAAGAGCCAAGTCTGTTAAAGTCAGGCCTACCATAATGTGGCTATTACTGTGTACAATGCTCTCCTGATTCTGCTTATTTCACTCAAGTCTTTCCAGGTTTTTTTGAAGTCTGCCTGCTCATCATTTCTTATAGCACAATAGTATTCCATTATATTCATATACCACAACTTGTTCAGCCGTTCCCTAACTGATGGGCATCCCCTCAATTTCCAATTCTTTGCCACCCCAAAAAGAGCTGCTATAAATATTTTTGTACATGTGGGTCCTTTTCCCATTTTTATGATCTCTTTAGGATACAGACCTAGCAGTGGTATTGCTGGGTGTGCACTATTTTATAACCCTTTGGGCATAGTTCCAAATTGCTCTCTAGAATGGTTGGATCATTTCACAACTCCACCAACAATGTATTAGTGTTCCAGTTTTCCCACATGTTGTCCTGTTTATCATGTTAGCCAATCTGATAGATGTGATGTGGTACCTCAGAGTCATTTTGATTTGCATTTCTCCAATAGTGATTTGGAACATTTTTTCATATGACTATATGTAGTTTTAAATTTCTTACTCTGAAAACTGCCTTTTCATATCCTTTTACCATTTATCAATTGGGGAATGTCTTGTATTCTTATGACTTTGACTCAATTCTCTATATATTTTAGAAATGAGGCCTTTATCAGAGACACTGGTTGTAAAAATTCTTTCCCATTTTTCTGCTTCCCTCCTAATCTTGGATGCATTGGCTTTATTTGTGCAAAAACTTTTCAATCTGATGTAATCAAAATTATCCATTTTGCATTTCATAATGTTCTCTATCTCTCGTTTGGTCATAAATTCTTCCCTTCTCCATAGATCCTTGCTCTTCTAGTTTGCTTATAGTATCAGTCTTTATATCTAAATCCTGTACCCATTTTGACTTGGTATAAGGTGTTAGATGTTGGTCTGTGCCCAGTTTCTGTCATTTTTCCAGTTTGCCCAGCAGTTTTTGCCAAATAGTGATTTCTTATCCCAGAAGCTGGAGTCTTTGGATTTATCAAATAGTAGATTAGTATAGTCATTGACTGCTGTGCATTGCATACCTAACCTATTCCACTGATCCACCACACTATTTCTTAGCCAGTACCAAGTAATTTTAATGATTGCTGCTTTATAATATAAGATCTGGTATAGCTAGCCCACCTTCCCTTGTATTTCTCTTTATTAGTTCCCTTGATATTCTGGCCTTTTTGTTCTTCCAGATGGATTTTGTTACTGTTTTTCCTAGCTCTATAAAATAATTTTTTGGTAGTTTGATCGGTATGGCACTGAGTAAGTAAATTAATTTACGTAGACTTTTCATTTTTATTAGCTTGGCCTATCCATGAGCAACTGATATTTTTCCAGTTATTTAGATCTGACTTTATTTGTGTGAAAAGTGCTTTGTAATTGTGTTCATATAATTCCTGGGTTTGCTTTTGCAGGTAGACTTCCAAATATTTTATAATGTCTACAGTAACTTTAAATGGAATTTCTCTTTCTATCTCTTCCTGCTGGACTTTATTAGTAAAATATAGAAAAGCCAATGATTTGTGTGGGTTTATTTTATATCCTGCAACTTTGCTAAATTTGTTCATTATTTCAAGTAATTTTTTACTTGATTCTCTAGGATTCTCTAAATATACCATCATGTCATCTGCAGAGTGATAGCCTTCTTTCTTCTTTGCCTATTCTAATTCCTTCAATTTCTTTTTTCTTTAATTGCTACAGCTAACATTTCTAGCACAATATTGAATTGACAGTGGTGATAATGGACATTCTTGTTTCACCCCGATCTTATTGGAAATGCTTTTAGCTTATCCTCATTACATATGATACTTGCTGATGGTTTTTGATAGATGCTATCTATCATTTTAAGGAAGACTCCATTTAATCCTATGCTCTCCAGTGTTTTTAATAGGAATGGGTGTTGTGTTTTTCAAATGCTTTTTCTGCATCTGTTGAGATAATCATATGATTTCTGTTAGTTTTGTTGCTGATATGGTCAATTATGCTGATAGTTTTCCCAGTATTGAACCAGCCCTGCATTCCTGGTATAAATCCTACCTGGTCATAGTGTATTATCTTAGAGATAAGGTGTTGTAATCTCTTCGCTAATATTTCATTTAAAATTTTTGCATCTATATTCATTAGGGAAATTGGTCTACAATTTTCTTTCTCTGTTTTGGTTCTTCCTGGTTTAGTATCAGCACCATATTTGTATCATAAAAAATTTTTTGGTAGGACTCCTTCACCTATTTTCCCAAATAGTTTATATATTATTGGAATTAGTTGTTCTTTAAGTGTTTGATAGAATTCACTTGTAAATCCATCTGGCCCTGGAGATTTTTTCTTAGGGAGTTCATTGATGGCTTGTTCAATTTCTTTTTCTGAAATGCAGTTGTTTATTTCCTCTTCCATTAATCTGAACATTTATATTTTTGTAAATATTTATCCATTTCACTAAGATAGTCAAATTTATTAGCATACATTTGGGCAAAATAGCTCCTAATTATTGTTTTGATTTCCTCTTCCTTGGTGGTGAATTCACCCTTTTCATTTTTGAGGCTGGTAATCTGGTTTTCTTCTTTCTTTTTTTAAGTCAAATTAACCAAAGGTTTATCTATGTTACTGTTTTGTTTTGTTTTGTTTTTTATAAAACCAGCTCTTAGTTTTATTTATTAGTTCAATAGTTTTCTTAATTTCAATTTTATTAATCTCTCCTTTGGTTTTCAGAATTTTTAACTTGGTATTTAATTGGGGATTTTCAGTTTATTTTTCTTAGGAACATATTATTAACAAATGAGACAGTGTGCTTAGTTTTGGAGTGAGGCCATATAGAGAGGAAGATGTTACATATGTGAGTCTTGTCCTCAAGAAACTTATCATCTTGTTAGGGAAATGAAGCCTAAATCTGGGAAAGATAAGTAGCAGTATGTACCATCCACAGTGGTATAAATACAAGTGTCGAAAGAACTGTAACACTTACCTGTACAGAGAGAAGAGGGTATTGCAGGCATGACTCAGTAGGAGAGTGGAGGCTGAGCCAGGATGGTGGAGTAAAGGCAGCGATTTGCCTGAGTTCTCAAACCCCTCAAAATACTTTGAATAATGACTCAAGAAATTCCAGAGCAGCAAAACTCACAAAAAGATGGAGTGAAAAAGTGTTCCAGCTCAAGACAACAGCAGGGCCCCAGCAAACCAGGAGCAGGCCGCAGGGCGACTGAGTCAGTGGCAGCTGTGGTGGTTTCCAGACTTCTCGGCCCACAGACACCAAAGACAACTTAGGTCAGCTGGAAAGGTCTTTTGCACCAGGGTGAGAGAGGAGTGCAGGCTGTGCCAGCACAGACCAGGCCCAGCAGGCCTTGGAGCCACTGAATCAGCAGTGGCAGCAGTTGCTTCCAGAGTTTTCAGTCCACAGGTGGTAAGGTGGTCAAACAACTGGTCAGAAAGAGCTCACAAGGGTCTCTTTGCTAGCACTGAGGAAGGTCTCTGTATGCACCCCATACTCAGATCTGAGTCACAGTCCTGAGTGGCAGTCCCAGGGCAAGGAGGACCGCGCCAGAGCTTGTGGTCAGAGTTCCAAGGCAGAAAAGAGTACTTGTGTTCACTCACAGACAAGAACACAGGCCAGGAGAAGAGTAAACACCTCTCCTTAGATCATACCACCTTGGAACACCTCAAAATTTACAGGTCCCTAGAAGTATCTCTGAAAACAGCTGCACAAAACCCCTGAAGCTTGGGACACTACACCCTCCAACCTGGAAGCAAAGCCCTAGCCTAACAAAGACTTAAAAGTCAAGTAATAGACTGGGAATATGAGCAAGCAACAGAAAAAAATTCTGACCACAGAAAGTTACTGTGGTAACAAGGAAGATCAAAACATACCCTCAGAAGAAGATAACAAAATCAAAGCCTCCAAAAAAAAAAAAAAAAGAATTGGTCTTAGGCCATGCAAGAACTCAAAAAACATTTTGAAAATCAAGTAAGAGAAGTAGAGGAAAAATTGGGAAGAGAAATGAGAGTGACGCAAGAAAATCATGAAAAACGAGTCAACAGCTCGGTAAAGGAAACACAAAAAAGTACTAAAGAAAATAACACCTGGTGAAAGAGGTCCAAAAAGCCAATAAGGAAAAGGATGCTTTAAAATGCAAAACTGGCCAAATGGAAAAGGAGGTACAAAAATTCACTGTAGAAAATCCTTAAAAATTAGAATGGAGCAAATGGAACTAATGACTCTATGAAAAATCAAGAAACAAAACCAAAAGAGTGGAAAAATAGAAGACTGAAATATCTCACTGGAAAAACAACTGACCTGGAAAACAGATCCAGAAGAGAGAATTTAAAAATTGTTGAACTACCTGAAAGCCATGATCAAAAAAGAGCCTAGACATCATCTTTCAAGAAATCAAGGAAAACTGCCCTGATATTCTTGAACCAGAGGGTAAAATAGAAATTGAAAGAATCCATTGATCACCTCCTGAAAGAGATTCCAAAATGAAAACTCTCGTGAATATTATAGCCAAATTTCAGAGTTCTCAGATCAAGGAGAAAATATCGTAAATAGCCAGAAAGAAACAATTCAAGTGTTGTGGAGCCACAGTCAGGATAACAAAAGAAAGCAGCCTCTACATTAAAGGATTGAAAGGCTTGCAATATGATATTCCAGAGGACAAAGGAGCTAGAATTACATCCAAGACCAAAACTGAGTATAATCTTTGGGGGGTGGGGGTGGGGGGGAGAAATGGACATTCAATGAAATAGAGGAGTTTCAAGCATTCTTGATGAAAAGACTGGAGCCGAATAGAAAATCTGATGTTCAAATACAAGACTCAAGAGAAGCAAAGAAAGGTAAACAGGAAAGGGAAATCATAAGGGACTTAATAAGGTTAAACTGCTTACATTCCTACATGGGAAGATGATATTTGTAACTCATAAGAACTTTCTCATTATTAGGGCAGATAGAATGAGTATATATAGATAGAAGGCACAGGTGTGAGTTGAATATGAAGGGATGATATCTAAAAAAAAGTAAAATTAAGGGGAGAAGAATGTTCTGGGAGAAGATGAAAGGGGTAAATGATTTCACATAAAAGAGGCAAGAAAAAGCTTTTACAACAGAGAAGAAAGGGGAAGTGAGTGAACCTTACTCTCATCAGAATTGGCTCAAAGAGGGAATAACATACACATGCAATTGGGTATAGAAATCTATCTTACAGGAAAGTGGGAGGGGAAGGGGATCAGAGAAGGGGGGGTGAGATAGAAGGGAAGGCCGATGGGGGGGAGTCAGAAGCAAACACTTTTGAAGAGGGACAGGGTAAAAAGAACAGAATAAGGGGGGGGATCAGATGGAGGGAAATACAGTTAGCAATAGAAACAAAAAAATTTGAAGCAAGTTTTTTCTGATAAAGGCCTCATTTCTCAAACATATACAGAACCGAGTCAAATTTATAAAATTAAGAGCCATTCCCCAGATGATAAATGATCTAAATATATGAACAGTTTTCAGATGAATTAACCAAAGCCATCTATAGCCACATGAAAAAATACTCTCACTATTGATTAGAGAAATGCAAATTAAAACAATTCTGTGGTACTACCTCATCCCTATTAGATTGGCTGATAGGAAAATGACAAATTGTGGAGGGGATGTGGGAAAAAAGGCATTAATACACTTAGTGGAATTGTGATTCGACTTTTCTGTAGAGCAATTTGGAACTGTGCCCAAAGGGCTATAAAACCATGCACACTCTTTGATCTAGCAATACCACTACTCGTTCTATATCCCAAAAGAGATAAAAAACAAAGAGGACAAGGACCTACATGTATGAAAATATTTATAGCAGCTCTTTCCTCATGGCAAAGAAGTGGAAATTGAGGGGACGCCCATCACTTGGGGAATGGCTGAACAAGTTGTGGTATGTAATTGTGATAGAATACTGTTGTGCTATGAGAAATGATGAGTGGGATGCCCTCTGAAAAGTGTGGAGAGACTTGCATGAACTGTTGCAAAGTGAAATGTACTGTGTACAAAGTAACAGCAGTATTGTAAGATGATTAGCTGTGAATGACTTAGTTATTCTCAGCAATACAATAATCCAAGACAACTCTGAAGGACTTATGATGGAAAATGCTGTCCATCCCCAGAGAAAGAACTGGTGGTGTCTGAATACAGATTGAACATGTTCTTTTATTTTCTTTATTTTTCTTCAGGGTTTTGTTTTGGTTTTTTTGTCTGTGTTTTCTTTCACAACATGACTATTATGAAATGTTTTGCATGACTACACATGTATAACATATTGAATTGTTTGCCTTCTCAATGGAGGGGCAGAAGGGAGGGAGGGAGAGAATCTGGAACTCAAAGTTTTAAAAACAAATGTTAAAAATTGTTTTTATATGTAACTGGGGAAAATAAAATACTAAATAAAAAATTTTTTAAAAGTGGCAAAGCGTAGTTTGGGGACTTAAGATGACTTAGACAAGGGTAGAAGGCATACATGGGACCGATAGGGGATATGATGTGGACCATGAAATATCAGGATGAGAAATCTGGACCTGATCCTGTAGTAGGAGGTTGCTATCAACGTTTTCTGAGGTGGAATGCAGAGTAACATCAAATTGTTATTTGGGGGAAATTACCATGGCATCATGTGAAAGAATTCTTTTGGAGGGAGGAGATGAGTACTGTAATTTATGCATGAGAAGGTAGGGACTGGGAGTAGGGTGGTGACCATAGGAAAAGTAAAGAAAGGAACAGATGTGGAAAACATTTGTACGTATAAAGAGATGAAAGATTATAAATCTGTGTGGAGGACAACCCACAAAGGTAACACCGAGATCAGGACTTTAGTTCTAGAAGGGACCTTAAGATCACCTAGTCCAGGGGGCAGCAAGGTGGCACAGTGGATGGAGCACCGGCCCTAGGTTCGGGAGGACCTGAATTCATATCCGGCCTCAGACACATAACACTTACTAGCTGTGTGACCCTGGGCAAGTCACTTAACCCCCATTGCCTAGACAAAAAAAAATGGACTCCCATGTAGTCCATTTGACAGCTGAGAAAACAGACCAACCAATTTGTCGAAGGTTACATGGGTAACAGAGCTGCCACTTAAGCCCAGGCTTCAGACTCCACATCTAGTGTATACCACTGTGCTTATTTCAAGCCTGAATGACTGGGAGAGAGTAGCAGATCAGATTTCCTTGGAAGAGATTGTACAAAAAAGAGCCTGATCCTTAGGAATATCATATTTGAGGGGGTTGAGGAGCTGGAAAAGAAGGAACAATGAAGAGAAAGGAAAGGCCCCTCCTCTCTCCACTGGGCCACTAGAGCGGACATTCCTGAGTCCTTTGGTACAATGCCACATGCTCCTAATGGAGGCTTTCATATCAATGGAAGATGCAGGTGTGAACACAAGCACTAGAGCCTGTCTCCATTCCTAAGCAGAAGTAAGAAGCTGCACAAGTGGGAGCTGTGTCTGGCCTTAGCAGTAGTCGACCAGGAGGGGAGAGATTTGTTTCACTTTTGATCAATACCAGTCTCAGAGGAAGGGCCTTGATAGCACACCCAAAATAAGTTTATCTTGAGCCAGATACTGCAGGTCTTAGCCGAAACTGTGTCCAAACTCTGCTAAAAAGGGGTCACTAACATCACAGGTTCCTCTTCAATTGAACTTCAAAACAGGATAAAAAGTGAATGAGAAAAACTTACCATTTCATGACTCAATTTGTATGCTGCCTCGAAATCAAATGTGGTGGCTGATCCAGGCACAATGGCATTTTGTAGCTTAGTTCCAGAGGCCACAATCCTGTAACATACACCAGGGTACAAAGATCAAACCTCCCCTTGAATTTCAGGATCAACATACCCAGAGAATGCATTGCCACCCTTGCCTTAGTCTTACTGATAGGAAATGGGCCTGCAAGGCAAAGTATCAATATAATGGTATGACAGGTACACATCCTGTAAAAGCCAGGACCAGCTTTCTATTATACCCAGTTTGGACCAGGTTCTTGGACCTGCACTGGAGGACAAGTGGACCAGTATTGGAGCACTGTACTGGGACCAAGGCCGGTTTCCATAACTTCAGGGGAATGTACAAAAGTTGGAAAGGGCTGAAATGGAAACTACAAAGTCAGAAAACAGTGCATACGATAGGTAGTCTCAGTTGAAAATGAGACTGAGAAAGCAGCTTTCAAGATCCTGGAACCCCAGGAATAAACAAGGGATAAAGTTTAGCACTGGAGAGTCAACCAGAGGCAAAGTATTCACCTTTCCCTGACAGGTCAGCGTCTTCATATCAGAATCCTTGGATTGCTGCTAGCTCAGAGAGGGTACCTAGATTGGCCACTGTCTAGCTAGGAGTTTTTAAGAGGACTCTGAGCTTGCCACACCCCTACCTCCTGACACTTCGTGTAGAATGTTAGATAAACCTCTGCAGCTTCCCATACTTTGTAATGCTGCACCTGGTACCGGTAGGAAAGAAAGCAGTCTTGGTGCCTCAGAGGGCAGTGGTGAAATGGAGTGACTCAAGAAAGCTTGAAAATCAAAACACGAGATTCATTCTGATCGACGATCAGGTTGTTTGTTCATTTGGTTTTTAAGCCTCAGCTAGAAATGTTAGAACTGGAAGAGAACTTAGAGATTGTCTCATTCAGCATATTTACTCAAAGTCATAGTTCAGCACCATCTAAAAATGTACTTGCACACCTTTTATCCCCCACTACAGTTTTTCTTTTATGTCGCATGCTTTTTGCATACTGTATTATGCATGTTCCAAGAGGATGGGACTTATTTGAAAGGCAGGAAGTTAAGGAACAAAGGTTGTGGCTTAGCCAAGTTCTCACGACCCATAATTTGTGAAGTTGGAATTAGGTGCTCTCTCTCCTTGCAGCCTTCCTTTATTTCAAGCATATAACATTTGAGGCAGAGGGGACCTTAGAGATCACATAATCTGACCACTTCATTTGACAAGTGAGGCAAATGCACCATAAGAGGGAAATGGATCTGCTGAAGAATACACAGTAGTTAGTGGCAAAGTCAGGGCTGCAATGTAGGGGAGCTAAGTGCATGTAGTGTCTGTCACTTGGCCAGTGCTTGTTACCAATGCATTCCTGTCATCGGCATGAAACAACCAGACATATCTGAATGCCAGCTAATCTCACACACAGCTGAGCAAGAGGCCCAGGGACCAACTTTACCTGTCATAAGCACAGTCAGTCGACGTCACAGTGGTGTCTGCAGTGTCAGGAATTAGCCACTGGAATGCTGGGTCAGTGCGGAGACGGATAGATGACCAGTGGGAAGGGGTGACATAAGTGCAATCAGCATTGAAATCTCCCATGAACAGAATGTCCTGTCAAGCACAGTCCCACTGTTAGCCAAGAGGGTTCTGTTTCTCAGGGTGCCAAGTGCGATAGATATAGGGACCAACACTGGATCTGTAATCACTGGTATAGAAAACTCCTAAGGAAGGAAACTCCCTCCACCAGTGCAGAGTAGCACCTTCTCTACAATTTATAATCTTACAGAGTTGCCTAGGGCACTGGTAATTTAAGGGACTTGCTCAGAGTGGCATAGTGAATAGAGAGCTGTCCTGCAAGCAAGGGAAATCTAGGTTCAAATCCTCTTAATTGGGATAATGAAAAAAATGGGAGAGGACACCAACCCCTCCTCACCTCCCCAAATCCCTTGCCTGCCCTAGGAAGAGTGAGAGGTGTGTGAGGTCTGTGTTTGGATCCTCTAACTCATACCTCTATGTCCCATTTTTGGAGGACATCTAAGTAGACATTGTAGAGTGCATCTATTTCAGCAACAGCATCATTTGGGGCTGCGTGCAAGGGTACAATGACGAACTCTTTCACCTCTGAGGAAGCAGCAGCAGCAGCAGCAGCGATGGTCAGTGCTTGTCTCTGTGTTCTGGTGGCCCAGTCCCTCTTTCCCCACCACCCCTGCCCATTCCCAGTCTAGGGTAACAGCATACTGAGCCCTATCCTACTGAGAGGGTAGAAGTGTAGGTAAGGGGTAAAGGGAGAGATGTGATGGGGGAAAGCCCTGAAAACAAGATGCTCTCATCAGGTTGTGGGAGGATCCAGGAATAGTCTAGAGGGAGTTGGCTTTTGGGACGCCAGCTAAGTCTTTTTCCTTTGAATGTTTCTTGCCTGTAATTGGGGAGGAGAATTTGACGATGGCAGGCTCCCGGCTGAAGGTGTCATTTCCACAGGGTTCACAGCCATCATCATAATAATAGCTGTCTAGGACGGACACTTTGTCAGGTCTGCAGGGGACGAATTCAGGCAGAAAATGAGTTGAGGGGAGTGGTCTGCGTTCTCTCCCCTAGTTGGTATATAGTCCCCAGGGGTGGAGGACGTTGGGGAAAGGATGAAGGAAAAGAGAGAATGGGTAAATAACTGAATTTCTCAGCTTTTGCATGGTCTCTTACTCCTGACTTCCAAAATCAGATATCAGCCTTTCTCCCATCTAATTCTTACTTTCTGAAGTGGTTTTCCTCTAGAACTAAGACTATTGATCAGAGATGCTCACATAAGGACATGGAAGCCTACACACCATTATTGGTTTAATCCTGGCCTTGGAGGGTTAGGCCACTAATGATGTCTGCAGCTTAGCCTGCTCACTTTCTCATCCTGGCTTTGGATTTTAGGTTCAGGTCTCAGTAACCCTGCATCTCCTGGTCTCTGGATTCTGAGTCTAGCCCTGCTGATGACAGAAGGTAAGTTAACTCTGTATCCTCTGTTTCTGACTCTGGTATGTCCTTGATTGGATTCTTGATTATTCTTAGTTTTGGTTCCTGTCTTCATGTGAAACTGGCCCACCAACTTCTCCCAGCTTCTGCTGACAGTGATGCTGATACCCTAATTAGGTTTTGGCAGACCAATAGAAGCCTGGGTGGGAGATGGGGAGAAGGTAGCAGGGTCCCTTTCATCCAGTTTCTGCTTATAGGTAGAATCCCACCTGACACCACTGCTGTCTATTACCCTTCTACCCTTAGAGGGGTAAATGCTTGTGATTAAGGATCTCGAAGTCCTTTATTTTTCTTTCCTAGAGAAGCCATCTTTGTTTCCTCTCCCAGTTTGGGGGCATTACCTGAATACAAAGAGATAGCGTTCTTTGTAAGTGTTCCGCCCTAGAGGCTCACTGACCACAAAATGATAGGCATTTGGTGAGTCTCTGAAAAGAAATGAAAAATTAAGCATTTTATTCTTGTAACTGGAGGGATCTAAATGAAGATGGGGCCAATGATGCCCCATCTCACTTAACTATACCTTCTACTCTCCACACTTTCTTTCTAGATGTTTACCTGGTGCTGGAGAGTGTGGCAGTCACCATATCTGGGATTCATGGAAAAAGAGCTTGTTCTAACCCTAAATATCTTTGGGCTGATCCTGCAGGTTTATGTTTTCACTGTAGGCCTGTCTCAAACCCCCCTCGTCATAGCCCTTCCCAATCTCATCATGGTCTGGATTTCAAACCCAGGATCTCTCCCTGGCAGCTCTCCTCTTCCACATCCTGGGATGACTAGTCATCATCTTCTTTCTGTACATGGCAGCCCAGCTCAGTGACCTACCCGTTGAGTTTATCCATCAGTTTCCCTACAGCTGTCAGATAGTTGTCTCTCACCTCCTGGATGAGGGCAATATCATACTGATTCAGGATCTGCAAGTGGGGAAAGACTCAATACAGTGAAAAGTGAATTTCTGAATAAGGAGAAGCTGGTATACTTCTCCTGTGTACTGCAGGTGACCTCCCCAAATCTCATCATCTCCATGGTTTTCTCCCCACTCATACCCACAATATTCTTCCCCAGGCCTTCTTATGCTTCCCAGGATCCCCACAATGACAAAGCCTGAAGAGCTCCCTGGAGTCAGATTTTTACTCTGTAAGATTGCAAGCAGAATTCTGTCTGTTAAACTCCTCTCAGTTTCAGCGTGCATGCTAATGAACATATCAAAGTTATACAAAACTATCAGTCAACTCACCCCATAGACTGGGCTACTTCTCTATTTTTATTTCAATCCTTATGCTTCCATCTGGCAGAATGAATTCTATTATGAAACAGTAAGCCTCTATCTCATACCACTTTTTTTTTTTTAGTATATTACTTTCAAAACTATCCTGCTTGTCTGTGCTTCCTTCTGAACTTCCTGCTGTTTTCTTCTATACAGTTTTAAAAATGTTTCCATGACTGTCTTTTTTTTGGCATCACTCTTATTAATCCTCCTTCCTAAAAAACTCCCTCCTCAGTTAATGGGGAAAGAAGGGAGTAGGGAGAACTCTTCGTGACAGATAAATGTAATTGAGCAAAACAAACACTGTGCTCATGTCTAAAAACAGAAGTCTCTTTCTGCCCTTTGTGCTCATGTTCACTCTGTCAGGAGGTGGGTAACATCCTTCCTCAGAGATCCTCTGGAGACATGGTGGCCCTCCCATCTTGCTGCCTTGGGACACATTAGGCTCCATGGGCCCACAGCCTCTCTGGTTGCACTGGGAGGCTACCCTATTGGGTTTTGATAGCATTCCCTTTTACTTCTCTCAGGCTTCTGACTGGCTCCTTGTGCAGTTTTTGGACAGAATAAGTTACTGTAGTTTCTCTTTACATTTCTTTATAATTGACCTGATGCAAACTTTAGGATTTTTTTTAAGAGTAGGTATAAGGGAGCTGGGTGGTCTGCCCACTCACCTCCACCCCTTTATTCCCTCTTTCAGACAATCATCTTAGTTGGAAGTCTCAGTGCTGGTAAATGCTTAACAACTTGTTCTCAGGAGAAAAATGGATGCATGACACACTTTCAAGTTTAATATGCATTACTGACATTATCTCCATCACTTTTCTTAAGTCTAGACAATCAACAAAACAATGAATTAAGCCCTGATTCCTAGAATTTGACCATTTCCAAGGTGTAAATGTTCACAATGAAAACTTAGCAATCAGCTCAGAGCTGGCTCTAGCACAACATGACTATTCCCCAAGTCTTCCTAAAATCAAGATCAGTCATGGTGACTGTGGCTCACCTGGGCCACCCAGGACTTACCGTCACAGTATAGTCAGAGATGGTGTTATTAGACATCTTGGTCTCACCAAAGCTCTTGATATTGAAAGAGGCAATTCTCAGGCACAGGACCACTTGCAGCAGATAAGCCAGGGAGAGGAGTGATGCTATTAGCTTTATAGTAGTCATTCTGCAACAGGAAAGGCACGTCTAGGTAGGAATCAATAATTAGTGATGTGGACTCCCAGATACCAACTTTGGGCTCGAAATACAAACTGATGAGTAGCAACAGCACAGATGGGATATGGAGGAGGAGAAATAGATATGTTACTTTATTCTACCACTGGATCCCATGCAGACAGGCGGCAGTCTGAACTCACCAGTACTAGGGTATCCACTAAGACTATTCATTCTAAAGATCTGAGTTTGAATGCTGGCTTAAACACTTACTAGCTGTGTGATCCCAGGTGAGTCACCTTTCTGTGTCTCAGTTTCCTCATCTGTTACGATTGGGATAATAACAGCACCAACCTCAGGGCTGTTGTGAGGATTAAATGAGTTATATTATTCATTCAATGAATACTAATTTGTAGAGAACTGCTTAGCGAGTTTTTGATCTCTTTTTGATCTCTAGCTGATTCTGTAAAGAGAGATATTGTCAGTCTTACTTGTCAGACTCAAGAAGAGGCTTTGAACTTTTTTTAAATTAAATTTTTTTAATGAACAGAAATTTATTTTCTTTTCCTCCTACCCTCCCCCACTCCCCACTCCATTGAGAAAAAGAAAAAGAAAAAGAAACTCCTTGTAACATATGCTTAGTCAAGCTAAACAAATTCCCTTATTGGATGTGTTCAAAATACATGTGTCTCTGCACATTGAGTCCATCACTTCTCTGTCAATGGGTAGATAGGATGAAAAATTATTTCTCTCGGTAATCATGTCTTGGAAACTCAGAGCTCCCAGCCCCCCTTTTGCTCCAAAGGACGTTACTGATAATAAAATTCCATTGAATTTTCTTATCCTGGTCAAACTCCAACCCAGGCCTGAATTGATTTAATCTGCTTGGATCTGGGTGAAGACAACAGATTCTTCTGTTTAGATAATCCAAGACTGGGGGTGGTCTGATAGAACAGATATTAAGTGACCTAAGTCACATATTCAAGACCTCATTTTAATCTAGCCCACCTTCCAATGTGTTGACCAATCAGAATTGACTGGCACCCCTCGGGAACACCTACTCTTCGAAGAGCATATAACTGTGCACCCCCAAATTCCAAACTGAGCCAATTCTGGACTTGCCCCCTTAGCGGGGACCAGTTTTGGACTGAATTCCCATGCAATGCATGTCAAGTCAGCTTGAAAGAAATTAAAATGGTGACACACACACACCCTAATTTCATTTGTCTCTTTGTTAGAACAGACTGTTTAAAAATTGGGGTTTGACAACATATGCTTCATTATCAGTCCTGTGGAATCCTGGATGGTCTTTGCTTGGATCAGAGTTCTTACATTTTTCAAAGTTGTAGGCTTTGAACTCAACAGACCCTTAAAATCTTCTCATTAGATGGGACTCCAACCTAGGTGCTACTTGTCTAGGAATCTGCCATCACAGTGGGGAGGGAAGGCCCTTTGTCTTTCCTGAGTCCAAAGGATTCTGGTGCTTCCACCAGGTAATTTCTACCAACATTCATAGGAACTGATTGTGAGGATAATCAATGACTATAAAATAATTGATGTTCTATTTTACTACCAGATCAAGAAAGAGAACATAAAAATAGGCAAAAGACTTTTGATGGAATGTAATATAGTGAACAGGATGTTGAATTTGGAGTCAGAATACTTGGTTCTGCTGCTTACTACCTGTGTCCTCTTGGGCAAGTCCTTTCAACTTCCTGGGTCTCAGTTTCCCTATCTGGTGGGCTATATTAAAATGAGGTCTTGCATATGTGACTTAGGTCACTTAATATCTGTTCTATCAGACCACCCCCAGTCTTAGACTATCTTGCCCCTCCCTTCTCCCCAAGATGGCATGCATTCTGAATACCCCTTCTCCTAATCTGCCCTCCCTTCTATCACCCCCCTTCTCTTATCCCCTTCCCCTCCTATTTTTCCTGTAGGGCAGGATAGATTTCTCTACCCCATTGACTGTATAGCTTATTAGAAGATGATTTTTAGGGGTAGCTAGGTGGTGCAGTGGATAGAGCACCGGCCCTGGATTCAGGAGGATCTGAGTTCAAATCTGGTCTCAGACGCATAACACTTACTAGCTGTGTGACCCTGGGCAAGTCACTTAACCCCATTGCCTAGCCAAAAAAATAAAAATAAAAAGAAGAAGATGATTTTTAAGGTCCCTCCTGGATTCTAACATTTCTCCTGATCATCGCAACTGACCCAGTAGAGTTAGTTCCATGCACTATGGACTTGAAAGAAATAAGGTCTCACCTGAGATAGATCTTCCACAAGCACTGGCACAGGTAATCTCAAGAACTGGTAGTGGTGGTGTGTTTTTTCCCCCTTAGTATCAATTGTCTTATATTGCTGTACTTGTCTGGATGGGGCAGAGGTGATTCAAAGACACGTTAGCCTGGCTCCTTCTTTGCGGTTGTGAGAATTTTCCTCCTGCTCAGGGGTTTTAAACATTCATCCAGCTGTGACCTTTCCTAGGGTGTATTTGTACATTGCGTCATCTCTGAAGTTGTAGAACAATGACACTGTGTTGGTTTTTAAGTGGGATAGCCTGCTACTACCAAGTATTTATTCTTAGGACTAGAAAGACTTTGAACCACTGTAAAAATAGCACTTCGTATCCTAGTAGATAAGTGTTTACATTTATTTTATTTTTATTTCTAAGGCTAGCCCCAAAGACACTTAACATTGCCAATATTTGAATCTGGATCAAGGGATCCATACCAGCTGTTCATTCAGAAAAAGTCAAAGCAGAATCAGATTTTCCCTTTTTAATTTAGTCTCTCTAGTTTCCTCGACCTTTTTTTTTTCTAGGAAGACTCTGGAATCCGTAGTCTTGCACCTGGCAGTCCCAGATAGACCTTAGGCTGTTATGAATCTAACACTGTCAAAAATGAAAAATCACCCACTCCATAGACAGACAGCTCTATTGTTTCCTGGAAAGTTCTTTAGATTGAGCTTAAATCTGCTCTTTCCACTTACACAATGTGGTTCACCCTATTTCCTTCCACCTAAAATGTCCTTCCTGTCCATTTCTGCCTGTGGAAGTCTTATCCAACCTTCAAGGCCCACTCAAATGCCACCTCCTCCCTGAACCCTTCCAGCTGGAAGCAATAATGGAGCAGATGATCAGTAAGGGCCCTTCAAGCTTCAGATCCTATGAGCCTAATGTCTCCCTCCTCTAGGTCCCCATAGGGCTTTGCTCATATTGATACAACAGTACTATCCCATTCAGTCTTGTATTTATTTGTGTATGCCTTACTTATTCTAGTAGATTTAAAATTCCTTGAAGGTAGAGACCATGTCTCATTTGTCTTTTGCTAAACTGAATTCTACCCAGTTCAGCCTAGTGCTACCCTTTGAAACTTTCCTTAGATTATGAAAAGGATTCACTGTATATAAATAGGTGGGGTACAATAGCATATCCTACAGGTAAGCATTACCACTGACCCTTCCCCAGAGACAATTACTGAAAAAAAAAGAGGGGAGGTTTTCAGTTTATCAGGTGAAGATGAAGAAATATTCCTCACTGGGAAAAGGTCAGCCAACATTCTGTGTAAAAGAGAAATTAAAGAGAACAAAAATGGAAACTTTTGCTTTGTAGACCACAAAAGTTTTTCCTCACTAACCTGCTTTTTCTCCTACTTATGGGCCCTATTATTTTCTTAATCTATTACTATAAGAAGTTGGGGAAATAACCGAATTATGAGGTTGGCATGAGTAGGAATGAAAAAAATCTGTGAAACTCTGTTGTATTTGTAGGGAGTGGTGGCAAAGTGGACGTGGGCCAATTTAAGCTGTAGAAGCTCGCGTGCTACTGATGTTATTTTAAACTGAACCTGTTATTTCAATGGTTTGGGAACTCTCACTGAGGAAAGTCCACCTGCTGGTTCAGATCAGCATATCCTCTGCAAATTACAGCTTTAGAGGGTGGCATGGGATCCTCAGAGTTAAAAATGACACTTCTGGGGCCAGCAGAACCAATAAGTATCAGAGGCAGGACCTAACACCATCTCTCTGTCCACTGCACCACCTTGCCTCTAATGCCTTTGAGAGAGGTCAGAAAAGAGAGCAGAATAATGAATCCAGTACTTTTAGGGTTATTGCAAATGTCAGTTGGAGTTGGGCAATGCTACTATTTCTTCTTCTTCTTCTTCTTCTTCTTCTTCTTCTTCTTCTTCTTCTTCTTCT